GGATATTTTACGTTATTCCATTTTTTTCAGTTTTGTGTCTATGAGGTTGCTAATCTGATTTTTTGAAAAAAATGATTGACATAACTACAATCATGCGTATATTTTAGCAGCTTATATTCCATTAACGGAAGAGAGTTGTAAAAAAAACTTGTTGTGACAGAGATGCAATTAAAATAAAACTAAGGAAAAAATGTAGAAATTCAAAGTTTGCATTGATTAATTTATTGTATACGAGTATGTTCAAAAGCGGTAACATTTGATTGGAAAAAAGTAATACGTTTATAGCGAATGGGCATACGCCAGAAAGGAATCGATTATAATTACCTACACTGTCATCAAAATTTGTCCAATTCACATAAACTTTAAACTTCATTGTAATTATTGTTTTTTATCGCCTGTTAATTTATCAATTTCATATGTTTCTGCCTGATAACCTCTGAATTAAAGCATACGATGTTTGTATACTGCATATATTTTAGCAGTTTGGTGTCTAAATTCTAATAACCGAAGGGGAACGTTAAAAACCTAATAAAAACTTGCTGTAATAGAGATGTGAATAAAAATCATTTAAGAAAAAAATAGAGACTTTTTAAGGTTACATTCCACTAACCCAGTCGGTAAATCGGTACTTAATTTATTGTATATGACTGTTCAAAAGCAGTAACATTTGATTGGAAAAGAATAAGTAATACGCCTATAGTGAATGAGCGGAAGTCCATTATATTACCAACACAGTGATCACAGTTGGCCATTTCACGCACATCAGGAACAATTTGTAATCAAATAGTCAATAATAAATCAACATTATTTGTTACACTCTTTTGAATTTGGCTAAGTAGGTTCGCAAGTGCCAATTCTTATATACAATAATGATTATTATTTGAATAACAATCAGATAGTCGAATCTCACTGAGTAATTTGTTAATGAATAATAGTATTAACGAAATCTTCAAATATAATTCAACGAACAATTACTTGATGTGACACCAAGTCTTAATCAACACGGACTTGATGACCTGCTGAGACTCAACTGTTTATCGGATATAACCGCTATTTCGTAAAGAGGCCATGTCTACACCGCACTACAAATTCAACATAGCACGGAAGCTCAAACTTGATAGAAATTGCAGTTTTACGAGCCATGAAAATACAGCCTTTTACTTTCGGTATTTCTCATGCCTTAGTCACTTACCTGAAATTTCAGGCGCGACCATTAAAGAATTTTGCCTCGAGGCTCAACTACTTCGCGCTAAGAAATCTGGTAACTGCTTTAGTGAACAGTTAAAACTGAAACAATTCACACAACTCGTTGAGGCAAAAGTTTATTTTTACCAAATAAAAAATGTTTCAGTATTTTAACTCCGTCTTGTATTATAAACCTAATGGATATGACAGAGTATTTCTGCTATACATCTAACTCGCTGTATCCTTGCGAAGACGATTTCACCAGCTTGAAGTATCAAGTTGGCCGTATCTCAAGCTGAACTACAACAGCTGTACAGTCTGACAGCACTACAACTAAACAACGAGATATTTGTCAGGCCTACTCATCGACTAAACAGCTTTACAATAACATCTTTATAACAGATTCAACCTAGTCAATATAATCAGCCTTTTCCGCTACTAACCTGTAACTAAAAATCAATCTATTGGTAAAAAGCCAACTCAAACACTGTACCAGCCTGCTGTATCGCTTACGCACTGCGAGCTGAACTTCGTGATAAATACGTAGGTTCGCTTTACGCACGGGTGGGCCTGTGACGTCATACCATAAAAAAGAGAGTCAAAATAAGAGAGAATGAAATAAACAAGGAAAGTAGCTACGTCTTTCTATGGGGAGTTTCTAAACTGCTTCAGAAAACATGTGATACGTAACGTATGGCTTACGGGAATTTGGATCGCTTGTACAAAGCCCCCGTCACTAACGGAAAAATGTGATAGTTGAGAAAAATACCACCAAATTAGTATTCAGTTGGGGTTGGGAATGATTTGAGAAATTGAATTACATGGCGCACAGCCTGAACATAGTATGTGTAACAGTTTAGGGTTCAGGGTGTACACCATCTTGGTTCATGTACTTCAGGAGCGCCGTTTTTTGTCGAGGTATTGGTATAAAAGATCCAAATATTTTTTGAAAACGTTATCAAGACCAGCCCTATATAACTCAAAAACATTCTATTGTCACAAATTATATTTTAGTCTTACCACGGGTCGCACATTAAATAAATTGTCACTCATCATTATTTACAGGTAAATGTTATGGAATACGGCAAATAGGATAAATAATAAGTGATTTCAAGCAGCAATAGAATATAGAAAGAATATGTTTGGAATAATTAGAGCGTTTTGGAATGTAATTTCTCAACATTTCAATATTTACTGGCATCTTTGATACTGTGCAACGTAATTACCACGTCCTGAGACTGTGATCTGCAAATTTTCACTCTTAAGAAGAACGGTTCACAATTAATAGGTTTGTCTCTATGGCCCCCGCAACATGCATTGTTATTTTACTTATTTTCCTTATCCCCAACAACATGATTTTGATAAAATAATTCGGTGCTACTCTGGTATGCGATCTCACTTGTTTAACGTAATCTCAATCGCATGAAGACACTCTCATATAAGTTTCTAACCCTAACTAAATCTCTAGGATCATACTCACACAACCGCTGAGATCGTATACCAAATTACCACCCAATTCTGTCTCTTTCTTTCTCTCTCTCTATCAGGAATTAGCACCTCAAATCTATAGTTGCCTGGAGATCGATGAGTTCAAATTGTAAATATTCCGGAGCTGTTTACACTACACATGGGATAAAGCAGAGCTTTCCAAACTCTCTCGTTAAACTCTTCCCTTTGCCTCACTATGCGTTAAATCTACTTAAATTATTTATTTAATCTTTCACGCATCCTCAGCTATAGTGTTAGGCACAAGTCGCTCTCCCGCTTTGGTACAGTTCAAGTAGTAACAATATGGGCATAAATAAGTGCTATAGTAATAATACGAAACCTTGAAATATTAGTATTCCTGAAGCAAATACAAAGTCAAAGCAAAATTTCTCCCCTAAAAGGAATTCCTCCCCGTTTGCTGTCTGTCCTTAACCTTAAGTCTTAAACAGTTGATTAGGCATCAGCAAAACAAATTTCCGCGGAACGCACAAATTGCACCGTTGGGTCACAGGTGGCCCGCGGGTCGAGGGTTGGGTACCGCTGATCAAGACGACACTGGACAAGCGTGGAATCAACACGAAACTATTAAAAATATAGAATTATACCGATTTGCTACCACATCTTACAGATACTACGAGCGGCAGTATACGTTACAGCGGCTTATCGGAATGTGGGTAAAATTTTGTTAAACAATTCTAATTTCATGATATTGAATGATTCACTTAGCGAGAGCCGACCCAGACCACACATATTAGTATCAAATGGGAATTCGATTTGGAATGCCAGAATGTAGTGTTGTAGTGTTGAATAGAGTCAGGATATGCCCCACGAACGTATTTATTGCTAGTTTATATTTAATTGATGTCAGTGTATATGTAGTATTCAGGGGAAATAAATTAAATAATATATCTGAACGGTTATTTTTGATTCTTCTAGCATTGAAACATCAGTACAAACTAAAATTTTCAATGACCTATATGTAAATTATTTCTGTGGATAATAATGCTCGAAGTGCAAACAATATTTTTAGTCATATGAATAAATTTTGCTTAAAAATAATAAATTGTAATTATCAAGTCGGACAGCAATGTGATGGATTTCGTTTTTCTGCCGATTTTAAACCGGACCTTGACTAATACCACAACTACAGTACCACAATCGCTTGATGAGTAATATTGAAATATACTTTGATAGATGTTTGTTCAGTGTAGGAAGTGCTAACGGAAACTCATTCCAGTAGTAACAGTATATCGATAGGAGCATTCTTGCTCCGTGCTTCGGTGTGTATCCTGTCAGTTTTGTTCGAATTGGTTTGTTCTATTCAATGTTCTATTCAATATATAGAAACTTTCTAAAGCCTCATGTTGTGATTTGGGATTATCTAGTATGTTGTCCTCAATCTACATTCAAAGGATGCTACCGTAATAATCTATAGAAGCCAGTGTTTTTCTCCTTGAGGCATAGACAAAAGATATAGATTGCCAATTTGGTGCATTTATGTTAAGACTGTTATGCAAAGTTTGTCAAACGTGAGTTGTAAAAAGTTGGTTCATTCAAAAAGGTGCGATGGAGGAACACAATCTATAAAAAACAAGAAAAGGAATAAGGCAAATGTATCAAACCAAATAATTTACGACAAGAAAGCATCAATTTGTTCAAGTCATGTTATACTCATTTTACCCCAAGCAATATATACCCGAGGTAATAGGTTGGAGCTATAAAGGGACAGATATGTAAATATGTAATTATTAAATTCGAAATTTCACTATGTATTTAATTCGTAACAAAATTACATAAACAATTTCCAAATATTTGGCATACCTATAGGAAGAGACTGATTCATTTATTTATATATATATTGATATATATTATTTCACCGAACATTGCCCCCTAAAAAAATTCTCTATATTTTACCATTTCAATATTTTGATGGTGTTTTAGCGAATTTGGGCTTACAAACTGCTTCGTATATTCCAAATAATCATATTAATATAAAATAATTAACCGCCAGCCGGGTAAAAGTATCACCGCTTTTTCGCGATTACTATTTTAATATTGCAACTAAATGACCATTGAATTATTTAAACTTAAATTTCAGGTATATCACTAATAACTGATAAATATATAGCTTAACCACAAAAGCTAGCCAATGAATACGACCATACCAGGAAAATGGTCTGAATGATAAAGTGTTTGAACGGTTGCTAATCTTTTGTTGTCATGTCACCGTTGATATTTGCTCATTAGTCAATCTTAGGGAAGTGATCAAGGAAGTCGATGATTAATACATTCATTTATTATAATAGCAATTAACACAGAGGTAGTGTACTTAACACACCAACGCAAGCCTGCTGATTTTGTGAAAGTTATCGGTGGGTAGCATGTACATGATGGTGGCAAAAATTACATATGTGTTAACGGGATTATTTCTTCTAATTGGCCAAAAAGGTATATGTATATTTCCCAATATCAGATGATTAGGATATTTAAAAATATACAAATGTACACAAAAAAGTTTATCAAACTTCAGGTCTTAATTTGCCTGATAGAATTCGAAAGAAATTGTAAATTTAACCAGACTCATGTTTGTAAAATATTTCATATCGACAGAATGCGACTTTACTAAGTTTATATTGTTCGTCTCCCGTTCCCGCCAAAATAGTTTCTAGTTGGTCTATTTGAATCTAATAATAAGTTTATCCGCTAGTTCTCAGGTATAAGCTGCATGTTTCCTATTCAGAGTCGACTCGAAATGTTAAAATGTTACTTGTCAATCTTTGTCTATTGCCATCTTAGTCTTTATGATAAAATATAAAAATAAGTGCTGCGGTACGCGTTCGACAAGCGAAATCATTATTTATCATATCTATAAACTATTCTTACCACATTGTAACTTATGCCATTTTCTGATTTAAGCTACAACGACCGCAAAAACTACCACTCACACAATGACTGCGGTTCATGAAAATATAACCTCGTTGACTCAAAAAACAATTTTTGCCCATTCAACAAAAACAAAGAAAGGTAAAAAAATATAAAAATAATTTGAATACTGCTTCTACTATTATATAACTGCTGTCTTGGCAAGTTTTTCGGAAGATAAAAAATAATTTATAAATTAAAAACCCCTAGTAAGATTCTATCAATACTTTCGGTACATGAATGCATCCAAACAGAAAGGTTGATGCATATAATAATTACAGCAACACCAAGTTGGACAAATCATTTAATATAACGTACAAAATAATACCATGCAACGGAGATAAGGCTTATGTATCCACAGGTATTTTTCCAACTCCCTTTACCAGCATAAACACTGAAATAGGTATTAATTTTTTTTTGTTTTTCAACTATTATTTTTTGGGAGTGTATTAAAAAATATATATGTTTTGATGTACGATTTTAGGAAAAGAATCGGAATGTTTCACTAAAGAAGATAAAGGTGGAAGTTACCGTGGAAAGATTGCGGTAACAAAATCTGGAATAGAGTGTCAGCGATGGAACGAGCAGCATCCCCACGAACATACAAGGTGAGACCGTTGTTGCTGACGGTTGAAGACAAAGTGACTATGTCATAAAATTTACATGCTATTGGATTGTTTCTTGATGAACGAAAATGCTTTTCATAGATAATTTTTGATGACTATTTTATCTTACACGTACTAAAATATTAATTAACAACAACTTTTTCTAACTTTTCATTTTCGAATGATGTTGGGATTCGGTATTCAAATTTTATAAAAGATCTCTTTAAATAACAAACAAATTTATATATTATGAAAATAGTCACAAAATACTGAGACAACTAAAATTATTTTATTCTCAATTTTACATTTTAGAACTGCAGAAGTGTATATCTTTGCTGGGCTAGATGCTAACTTCTGCCGAAACCCCGACGGGGAGGATGGCCCGTGGTGTTATACAACAGACGAGGAAGAACGATGGCAATATTGTAACGTTTCCGAATGCAGTTCAAGTGAGTTGAGTTTAAATATAATTTATTCATAGATATAATAATAAAATATACAAATAAAATACTATAAAATAAGTTCGAAAGCCTCGAAAGTTGGTCGAATTTGAATATTTTACTGCACTATTACGCATAGTTATCACTTGATTGAAATGTATTGTACTTATCAAAAGTGTTCATACATTTACACATTTTGATTTGAAAATTGGCATAATTTAATTTTATAAGCTTTTTCATCTTTTTAGTGATAATCAATTCAACATTTGATGACGTCTAAAATCCGGTCCCATTATCTTTGAACCCACGTACATTTGCACCCGTACATTTGAACCCGTAATTTGAACCCAGGACAATTGCACCTGCATACTATTGTACCTATGGACATTTGCACTTACGGACATTTGAACCCATACATTTCCACCCATGGATATTAGCACCCACATATAGATTGAACCCGCGGACATTTGAACCCATGTACATTTGCACCTGCGTACATTTGAACCTATGTACATTTGCACCCGCGAACATTTGAACCCATGTACATTTGAATCTACTAATATTTGCACCCCGGACATTTGCATCCGCGGACATTTGAACCCATGGACTTTTGCACCCACGAACATTTGCACCCTGGACATTTGCACCCGCGGACATTTCAACCCATTTACATTTGCACCCACGGACATTTGCACCCGCGTACTTTTACACCCACGTACAATTGCACCCACAGACATTTGCACCCATAAACATCTATACCCATGGGCATTTGCATTTACAGATATTAGCGTATTTACATATACATCCTTATTCATCCATGCTACCTATTATTTTTTATCCCAATGTATACGTTGCGAAAACAATTATTATAACCATGGAATTCTCGATTATACACTCGGATGCTTTATTAAAACTATTATCTGGTCTTATATATTTATATTATACTCCGTCTGTCATTGTCATCGCAATTGTCAATATTATAAGACTCAATCGACAAAATCTTCCACTCTTGCGCGGTGCCAATCGAGTAGGGATTTTATTTGATGTGTTAGTTCGATCCCGCGCGCAAAGGTTCTCCTCGCATCAATGCCCTTTTTCTTTCGCTGACAATTCCAAACTGTTTCTTTAGGTCGTTGCCGCTGCGAAGATGATAAGTCCCTTTGCGAAAATAAGTTGTAAGCATGGCGCCTAAATTTTTCAAGATCGCAAGAGGAAACGACTTACCGATTTACAAAGGCCACGAATATTGCGGGCGAAATGATCGGGTTTCAGATGCTATTCATTGACGCTGCTGTCAGTTTAGGAAATTTCGATGTAAATCGACTGTTGTTACGATCGGTGAAAATGTAATTAAAGAACTAGGATATCACAGTCATTCTGGCGACAGCATTAGGACAGAAGTTGGGATCATTCGTGCAACATTAAAAATAGCAGCATCAACACCATCAAATACATCGACAAGATATATTTTAGGTGAAGTATTGAATAATAGATCAACAGATGTACTCATGCGCTTGCCAAGCAAGTTGACCATGGAGGCTAATATACGAAGAGGAAGGCGACAGAAAAATTGTTCTCGTACGAATCCTACAAGTGCTAGCTCTAATATTCCGACCGAATATTTAGATATCATGTTGCATGACACTGGCCCGAAGGATCGTCATCGAATAATTGCCATTGGAGATCGATCACTACTTGCACATCTAGATAGTGACACATATATTGGCGACGGTACATTTGATGTGGTTCCCAATATTTTCTTCCAGTTGTATACAATTCACTGTGAAGTGGGGGCATCCTATCCTCCCTGCGCATATTTCCTATTACGTGACAAGCGACAAGAAACATACGTTCAGATGTTGGAAGTGTTGAAAATCATTTTCCCAAATGCTAACCCCATCAAAATCATTGTTGATTTTCAAATAGCAGCTATCAATGTATAGGCTACCATGCACAATTTCCGAGGGCCGAAATTAAACGATGTTATTTTCACCTGTCACAAGCTATAATTCGAAAAGTTGGTTCTATCGGATTGAAAGAGAAGTTCAATTGTCTGCCCTTTTTCAATATGAAAATCAAAAGTTTGGCGGCTCTGGCCTTTGTTCTCATTACCGAGGTTGCCGAAGTCTTCACCTTGCTTTCCGACATCTTCGAAGATTCGCCCGAATGCAATCAACTTTTGCAATATTTCGAATCCACTTACATTCGTGGACCTCAAGTGGGTCCACGTCCAAGAGAAGCAAGATTTCCCCCTCGATTGTGGAACTATGCTGATGAGATTTAAATGATGCCCTCAGCCCCAAAAACAACAAACGCTGTAGAAGGATTTCACAACGCCTTACAAGGAATGTTCCGATGCAAACATCCCAGTATATGGGGTTTGCTGAATGGCCTACGAAAAGACATTGCAGTCCACAAACTGACTGCGGCAAATGCTCATGTAGGAGAGCTACGGCCCACCAAAGATCAAAGTATGTACAACTTGCTGTTAGGTTATCAGTTAAAGTTTCTTCGTATGGAACTGAAACAGACAAGCTGAGGTATCTCCATTCAATAGCTCAAATGCAGTCTTTTTGATTATGACTTTGATCGTGATATCGTAAAATTTCGTTTATCGTTAGTATTTCGATTTGTTGTTTAATTAACTGTTGTATCATAATTGATAAATTCCTATTTTGTAAAACGTCCATAGCTACTATATCTCAAAATTGATCGCCCATTCGACACACATTTGTGAGTGATAACTTTATTGAGATATTAAAATAAATGTTATCCGTAACCTATGACGTCGTTTGTAAATTGCAATATCAATCTTGGCAGACCCTATCTGCTGAATATGTTCGATCTACTCTAAATAGCGTAAACATCAAAAACAATTTTTGGTCACGATAATGATTTTAAAAATTTTAAAATTTCTTCGCTTTCGAATATTTAACATATTTACATGACTTACGATTTCTATGTATCGTTTTATTCTGACATTCTAATGAAACGATATTTCAATAAAACTGGCATTTGGCTATGAACATGTTGTTACAAAAATGGCATAGTTTCAATATCTTCCATTATTTCCATATTTTCTTAGAAACGAAGAATCTGTGCGCTTATTTATTTATACACAGACAATAGTATTCAATTTATAGATTGGTTTCAGAAAAATGGCAAAACCTGATTTGAGACAACACTCATTTTCAACAGTAAAGCGTGGTCGTGTATGCCTTCATATTACAATTTAGTAAACATGCTAGCAAGAAAAACATGAAATTGCCACAGAGTTCCCAAATCTCATGCTGGGCGTGATTCCATAGTAGGCGCTTTCAGGACAATAATTTCAGAACAAATTTATAGGAGTTGACCACTAAAAATATTACTGTAAAACTAGTTTTAGTAAGGCCCTCATTTGATACTTCATGGGCCTGTGAATTTTGGAGAATAAACAGCGATAACATATTTGTTCCATATTTGCCCTGGTTTCAGGTAATTTCCCCTACGAAATACCGCTTTCTAGGTCATCGTCTGTTTTGGAGATCACCCACGTGGGTTTTGTGAAAATGTACGTGGTTTAAATATACATGGGTGCAAATGTACGTGGGTTCAAAATTCAAATGTACGCGGGTTCAAATGTACGTGGGTTCAAATGTAAGCGGGTGCAAATGTTCGTGGGTTCAAATGTACGCGAGTTTAAAATTCAAATGTACGCGGGTTCAAATGTACGTGGGTTCAAATGTACGCGGGTTCTAATGTACGCGGGTTCAAATGTAAGCGGGTTTAAAGGTAAGCGGGTGCAAATGTAAGCGGGTGCAAATGTACATGGGTTCAAATGTACGCGGGTTCAAATGTACGCGGGTTCAAATGTACGTGGGTTCAAATGTACGCGGGTTCAAATGTAAGCGGTTGCAAATGTTCGTGGATTCAAATGTACGCGGGTTCAAATGTACGCCGGTTCAAATGTACGCGGGTTCAAATGTATGTGGGTTCTAATGTACGCGGGTTCAAATGCACGCGGGTTCAAATGTCCGCGGGTGCAAATGTTCGTGGGTTCAAATGTCCGCGGGTGCAAATGTTTGTGGGTTAAAATGTCCGCGGATGCAAATGTATGGGTTCAAATGTGCATGGGTGCAAATGTACGGTCACCGTTTGAACACCTGTGTTTGAGGTTTTGGTGCTTGTATAATATACCCTTGATTCAAATAAACGAACACTTAGTAATAAAGAAAGAATGAGTGCTGTGGTACGCGTTCGACAAGCGAAATCATTATTTATCATATCTATAAACTATTCTTATCACATTGTAACTTATGGCATTTCTGATTCAAGCTACAACGGCTGCAAAAACTACCACTCACCAAACGACTGCGGTTCATGAAAATATCACCTCGTTGACTCAAAAAACAATAAAAAAAGGTAAAAAAAAAAATTGAAAATAATTTGAATACTGTCTAGTATTATATCACTGATGTCATGTCAAGTTTTTCGGAAGATAAAAAATAATTTATGAATTGAAAACCCCTTGTAAGATTCTCCCAATACTTTCAGTACATGACTGTCTACCAACAGCGTAGGTATATATTTCGCGATAATATTGCATACATTTATCAACTTTTTACTCAACTACCATTTTATCTGAATTTACACACAAAACAATAATTTTGGGGAAATTTTTGTAACTAAATTTTATGGACTTCATTTATTCTTTTTGGCAAGTTTTCTATATTATTACTATTTTTCTTTTTGTGATAGCAGCTACTCCACCTACCGGATCCGCAGAAGCCAGCGACGCAGAAAAGCAAACAGGGGATAAAACACTAACCATCGTCTTACCAATCATTGGGGCAATACTGATTATTTTAATCATTCTACTGGCAGTTATTGTGATTAAAAGGTAAACAATTTTTGGATTAAAGCAATTAAAATATCGAAGTTATATTTTGGAATTAGTGATGGACCCGACCCCACACCAGGCTCTTAAACGTACTAATTGTAACGTATTCCAATGCAACCGTTCGACCACTGGTATACCTAATATTGGGGATGATAAACCTCTCATAAATAGTATGTTGTGATGGTATATCTTATATGTAGTGGGTTGTTTTAATTTCATCAACGAGACTTGAAAAGGAGGCACGGCTACTATATTTAGGGAAGGGTGAGACAATTCGTCACACTCGAATAAATAAACGAATACCAGCTTTACATTATTGTATGCTTTGTATGATATTGTAACAGGATGATAGAACGCTCATTTTGTAGAAATTGTATTACAATTCATGATACAAACCCAGCTGCATGCAAACTTAGCTAGGATCAACGTAACAACCACGTGAGCAATCAATAATGGTGTCACGTTTTGTAACTAGATCCCATGTTTTATATTTCATTGACTCGTGCTAATTAATGTTCTAAATATCTTAGCGCGTCTTGATTTCCAATATTGCTAAAATTTAAATCGAAAAGGATTTCATTCGATGTTGGATTCGGTATGGAATTTTGTATATACCTGATGGGCTTTAAGTTTTTCGATTTTTATGGCCTCAAGAAATTCAATGTGTTTGAATTGTGATGCGATTTCAATTTCACTTTGTTCAGCTTTTATGACCTTTTATTGATCTTGGTGCCAAGTTTACATAAACAAAGAGGTGACTCATCCTTTTTCCGTGAATTCACGAGCCCTGCCTGAAGTTAATCCATAGATTTTTCCTCCTAGAAAACACTCTTTACTTTTTTCAAACAACGTTCTAATTTATGTCACAGAAGGAGAGGTCTGAATACATTATCAAGTGCAAAGACGACGGTTAACAACGCATATGAACAAACTAACTTTGATCAAGCAGGAACAAGTCCATAATGATTGATAATATATTGTACGATTCACTACAAAAACAGAATAAAAAAATAGAAGTTGAAAAGGAATTGTATGGAAGTGCATGAACATTTCCGCTCGGGTACATAAGAATTCTTAGTGAAGATTTGATTTTGAAGTGGCGCAATTAAATCCAATATTTAGCTACTAAATTAAAAAATGAACATGAAAAACTGCATAATCTCCTGTCCAAATAATATATATATTTATTCTAACTAAGAACATAGCATGTATCCTGACTCGCTTGTTCACTTTGACTACTTGTACCGCTTGCCAGGATAAGCAGTTCCTGATTTGGGCCAATGGGCCATCAGCCTTAGGGTTCTCGACATTCAATTTTGAGCTTGATTCATTTAAGGTAGTTTCAAAATTGTAAAGGCTTCTTTCAGAATAAAACCGGTTTGAATTATGAAACTGATATTTGTCAGATTAATAATTCTTTTTCTCAAATATTCACCGTTCAAAAGATTAAATCATGAAATAAGATTGTGCAAATATATTTGAATAACTTCACTTCTTTAGTCTTAACAAATAAAATATGCTAATACAAATTATGTTAACAGTGTAATAATGCCTTCGTTTTTTTTAAAAAGATCAGAAAATATCGATATTACACAAATCTATTTACGCACAACGAATCAAAGAATGATTATTATTTCTCACGATTTCAGATTGTTTTTGTGTCGTAAACCAGTTTATTTAAAAATGGAATGATAGTTTTATTTATCAGTGTTTGTTTACTTATCATGAATAGGGATAATTTTAAATTTTATGTAAAAGACTTATTAAGAAGTCATAATATGTTCAAATTACGTCATCGATAAAAGAGACCTCACAAATGGCACATCTTAGGCCTCTCAGCGTCTGAATCCACATGGGAGATAATGAATTTTTACCAAAACTCACTTAAATAAATCAAAGCATTCCCTCGGCTGGCGTGATAAACGTTTTGAAAGAATTGTTGAACCTTGACATTGTAATATGCTGGGTTGAAATCTGAAATTTCGAAAAAAACACTGATCAAATATCACGAATATATATATTTAAAATAATATAATTTTTGAATTTAATTTTATATTAGACAGTGGTTCACTTGGTCATTGAAAAGACAATGCTTCTTATTCAGCTATTCCAATGTTATAACATTTGGCTATAAGATGGCTCTCTCTGTATATATATATATATATACATATTTTAGGACGAATAAAAGCCATGGTTTGTAAACAAAAAATACTATCAGGGGAAAGACTACCTAACTTCTCGCATACTTGAGATTATTTGTGATTTTACAAGGCCCATATAACTTAGTACATGTGATACTATTTGATTGTTCTAAAAATAGTGTTGAAGTGTGTATGGCGGATTTACATTTGAAACTTTAAGATGTGTATTACTTTGATATGTATTTTTAATTTATGTGCTTTTTAGTTTATCAACTGAAACTCAAGTAAATTTGAATTTATCTTTTTGGTATTTTTGTGTTCTACAATATTGCACCCGGCATGAAGCTTACACTATTCTTATGCTATTCACAATTCGTCAATAAAAATTTAGAAAACATTATTAGAATACCTTAAATCGTGATGAACATATGCACACTATGCGTTAAATCTACTTTAATTATTTATTTAATCTTTCATGCATTCTTAGCTATATTGTTATGTACAAGTCGCTCTCCCGCTTTTGTACAGTTCAAATATTTCAAATATTGATAATATGTGCATAAATAAGTACTATAATAGTAACAAAAAACTAAAGATATTAGTATTAATAAAGCAAAAAAAAAGCAAACCCAGGTTGATGGTAAAGGTTGGAATAAAAAACTACTTGTTTCAAATTAATTTGACATTCAATAAGAATACATTACACCAGTCGTGCGTGAGCTGACAATATGATTCCGCCGCGTGATTCTGGCGCAATATCAAGCCATAATTGTAAGTCGACCAGTAATATAGTGCAATTTGTATTTTTGATCCTTGTCGTATAAAAAAAATTGGTACTAACTAAAATTTTCAATGACCTATAGGTAAATTATTTCTGTGCCTTATAATACTCTAAGTGCCAATAATTTTTTTAATCATACGTATAAATTTTGCTCAAAAAATATAATTTGTTATTACCAAGTCGGCAAGCAATATAGTTCCTTTTGTATTTTTCAATTCTTGTCGATTTGAAACGTCGGTACTAACTAAAAATTCTCAGTGCCTCATATGTAAATTATTTCTGTTCGTTATATTACTCTGAGTGCAAACAATTTTTTTAGTCATATCAATAAATTTTCGTCAAAAAGAATAAATTGTAGTTATCAAGTCTGTCAATGTAGAGCAGAGGCGTGCAACATACGGCCCGCGGGCCACAGCACGGCCCGCGGTACCTATTTACGTGGCCCGCCACTGACTTCATATCCTAATAATTCAAAAACTTCTTCTGAATTGTAACGGCATCATTGGCATTTTTGACTACGGTGTAAGTCTATAAGACTTCATCACACTGCGATTCAATTTCGTCAACAGTACCGGTATTGTGACAACCCCCCATTGCTGCAGCATATTTTGCATTGTATGAAAACTGCCTTGTTCTGGCAGTGGTACGTGATCTTACTTTATGGCTGCAGGTTATTATGCGAAAAAGCTTAACAAAGTTCAAATGTCTACCAAATGTCTAAAAAAAGGAAATATGAATATGAAAGGCGCAAGATATCAGATATCTCAGTAATCACCTACCTAATTAATAAATTGATTGTACGTGCTCTTCCATTTAATAAATTATTCATAAAAATAATGAGTTTTTCGATGGTCTGGCCCCCGGTATCACTATAATTGTAGTTTGTTGCTCATTGCGCTAAACAATTGCACGTCCCTGATGTGGAGCATTTCGATTTCTGCCGATTTTTAACCGGGCCTTGACTAATACCACAACTACAGTACCACAATCGCTTGATGAGTAATATCGAAATATACTATGATGGATGTTCAGTGTAGGAAGTGCTGACGAAAGCTCATTCTATAGTAACAATATATCGATAGAAGCATCATTCATTCTTGCTTTTCGTCGTGGCGCTGTGTCATGTCCGTCGAGGCTGTTTCGTTATATATTTATTCATTATTGAGTAATATTATATCACAACCAGATCAGTAAGTTTATCATGTTCTATTCAATATATAAAAACTTTCTAAAAGGTTATGGTGTGATTAGCTAGTATGCTGTCCTCATTCTACATTCAAAGGTCTTCGACCATCGTAAGGTATAGTAGTCAGTGTTTTTCTCCCTAAGGCTGAGGCAAAAGATATCGCATTTACGTTAAGGCATGTTATGCAAAGTTTGTCAAACGTGAGTGGAAAAAATTTGGACCATTTAAAATGTGAGGCGGAGAAACACAATATTAAGAAAAATGGAATAAGGCAGCGCTAGGACTAATACTAGGCAGTACTAATTTGTTCAAGTCCATACGATGAATACAACCAGAAAATTGGTCTGAATGAGGAAGTTTGTTAATGGTTGCTAAAATTTTGTTATTCAATATTAAGGAAGTAATCAAGGAAGTCGATGCTCGATGATTAATACATTCACATATTATAATAGCTATCAACACAAGGGTAACGTACTTAACACACCAAAGCGAGTCTACTGATTTTGTGGAAGTTATCGGTGGTAAGCATGTACATGATGATGGCAAAAATTACATTGGTATTGACTACATTATTTCTTCTAATCGGCCAAAAAGGTAAGAAAGAATTTAGTTTTCTCGTAATATCAGTTGATAAAGATATTCGAAAAATATAACAAAAAAGTTTAAAATACTTCATAACCTAATTTGCTTGATAGAATTCAAAAGAAAATTGTAAATATAACCAGGCTCATGTTAAGTATTTAGTATCAACGAAATGGGACCTTACTAAGTTGTTCGTCTCTCGTTTCCACCTAAAGGGTTATTGGTTGTTCAATTAGAATCTAATATTGAGATTAATCGCTAGTTCGCGGGTATAAGGTGCATTTTTACCATTCAGGATTGATTTGAAATGTAAAAATGTTACTTATCAATCGTTGTCAATTGGCATCACAGTCTTTATGGTATCAGTTTCTCGAGTGGTTAAAGATTGTATTTTTCGTCAGAAGGTCATTAGTTATTTCAAATATTTGAACATCGCTCTCTTGTTAGTAAATTGCTAGTGCTTTGAGCAAACTTTTATAAAATTTCAAATTATAGTTATGTGATTAATATTATATATGATGGAGTGATTCGTGGGGTCGGGCGAACCCGTTCTTGGAATACCGTGATATCAGCGAACCCGATCTTGTTTTTCAGAGCTTGTAAGCTTGGAACGGTTTGCTTAAACGAGGGAACAAGTTGTTAGTTGGTTCGAACCTTTCTTCGCAATTTTGAATTCCACCACAGATTATATATAACATTTTATGTAACATTTGTGCATCATTAACAGGCTACCTAACTCGCGGACAAAATATCTGCTCAGAAAATGGAACATCAGTCGTGATTAATGACACTCAAGGAACAATACATGTCCCGAGCGTGGAAAAACCTGAGAACGATCAAACAAATAAACCTTGTTATTGGCGGTTTGAGCCTGGTACTAAAACGTTTGGTGTTGAGCTGTCTGTGAATATAAAAGAAGACAATCAAGAGATAGTCGAAATAGATCTCATAGGTGAGAGCGAGGGTGACCTCTAAGACACGTACACGTACATACGAAAGTCTATTCTAACTCTTATGATGAGCGTGTTTCATTAATATAGTATAAATACTATTCTGATCCGAAAAATCTAATGTGGGTTATATCAAATTTTGGTGCTCCCAAAGTATGTGCACCAAGATGGTGCACAACCTGAACATAGTATGTGTACCAGGGCAGGGTTCAGGTTGAGCGCCACTTCCGGAGCGCCCAAATTTTTATACGGACGCACACATTTGGAGAAAGTTTACCGAATAAGAACCGATTATGCTATTCCGATAATAATATATATATATTACACTCCATTTCGTGTTCATATATAACATTTTCGAATATTGAGTTTGCACCAAGCGTTGGAATTACATTTATCACTGCGTATTACCCTGAGTGGTTTGCAGTTACAAATCTCGTAAGAAATTTTTTTATACGGGAATGCCAATTGAACCTGCTGCCGTTGCAATGTGGTACAATCATATGCGTGTCTTCTATCACCATTAAAGATGGCTTCGGCTATCAGATGGTTAGTTATCCAAATGCCCGAACAAGACTGGCAGACAGTGGTTGTGGTTTGCTATAGAACAGGGGTCACCAAACTTTTTTGACCGCGGGCCGGGTATGACTCAAACTGTGTTGAAACGGGCCGGACAAATATTTTTGTCAATGCAATACAATAAATTCACAAAAATTGGAAAATCCATTCAATTTATTCAACAATATATATTCTAGATTTCTGAAGACTTAAATTCTAAAGATTAAATTAATAATTCTGAAGACCTAAATATTAAATTCTATATATATCGCAGACTATAGATCGACAACATTCTAGGAAAACAATATACAAGATTTCTATATATAGTTGAAAATCCTGAGTTTAGCTGTTATCAAAACGTTGCAGTCATGAATTAGGAATGTTACTCCGCTTTTTCGCGTCAAAATATGTACGCATCACGTCTGCTAAGTACCTTTACGCCGTGTCGGAATACGGCTCATACAAACGACTACGGACTGCCTGCTTTAGCATGGAAATCCATGAAATTTCGACATAATTTAGATAAAATAAACAACTATCATCTGGTGTTTTATTTTTATTCATTAGCGCATAAATTTCCCAACATTCGGAGCTTTTAAAATTAAACTCAAGGTATACGTGGTGCAAATTGATGTTATTGTCTATGTCCTATGGACACCAATAAATTTAATTGGACGTGTGTATTTCTTTCCTAACTTGATACTTACCAATTTGTATGAAGTTTGTACAATCAGAACATCGTTAATTATTACCCACAATGAACCACTGTCAAACTAACATGCACAACTGTAGCGTTTATTTGCCACCATCTTTCGGCGGTGTCAAGACTGTTGCCAGAATAAAATCCTGAAATAGTCTCAATATTCCACAGATGTGACGCAAATCGAAAGATTGGTGATTAGTATGTGTTTTTTTATTCATATTTATTACAGTTCTTATCAAAAAAGTTATACAATTCTTATGGAAAAATGGCCTGTCGTGCGGTACTAAAATTCCGATATCTCTGTTATTTCTTGATCTTTTTTATAAACTGGGTAATGTTATCTTATTTTCACTCAGATCTATCCACTGGCGCAGTTTTTATTCAAATCGGATGAACTTCATTTTTTTTGTAACTTACCTACATGAATATCCGCATTTAATCAGTACAAAAATAGTGGGACTTGGGAAATTGGAGCAGTACGCGAGGGATTACAGTACTGTTAGCGCAAAATGCACATTCGACATTCATTTTAGCACAAAGACGTACACAGTTTCGTCAAATGCACCCGCCGCGAGTGCATCTTTCGCTATTTCCCCAACTAATTTTTCATTACTACTATTAAAACTCCTAAAGAGGCAAATTATGATTGACTTATTTGATTCATACATAAATTTCCAGACACAACCAGAAACTAACGAATAGCATTCAAAATCGCAAAAACGAAGTATTATTTACAACCACGACTGAAAATCTGTCAAGGTGACGAAAGTGTCTGAGCGGATGCGAAAAGGCCCATTATTACGTCACTTTTTGCATCTTGCTGATTGGCCAATGTTTCGAAATAAACAAGGAAGACAATGCTCGAGAAAATTTTTCTTGAAAAAATATGTGGCCATTTTTGCGTGTTATTGCGGGTCGGATAAAATGACGACGCGGGCCGAATCCCGCCCGCGGGCCGTAGTTTGGTGACCCCTCTATAGAACCAAGCCTTATTATCGCCTTTCTATACATAATCATTCATCAGTGTTTTATCTTTTAACACTTCAAATAGATCAAAAGTATAGAAAAGCTTCATGCACAGAGGACGGAGGCTATTGCTTAGAGTTTTACGAATATGAAGACAACACATATTATGGTACTTGCATTGATAAATGGTGGTGGCTGCGAGAATACTGTCGCGTGAATGAAACGTCGGAAAACTTGTTGAAATGTATTCCATGTGCGGGTAGTGGTAAGTTGCAGATTATATATATGTGAAAAGATTCTTCTCTTTGCCTTCTTCCGATATTTTTTCAATCTTATGGATCATTAGCTGGTGCCACGCACCAGTAGCACACACGCCTGTGTAAAATGTGTGCATAAATATTTGAAATAATGGAAAACTAAAAAATAAAAACAACAAAAAATTCTTCTCTGTGGAAGAATTCCTCCCCGGTTTGAAAACTTGACTTGTATTGTTGAATTTCACAAGTGAGAATAAAACATTTAACTTTGTAGGTTCAACGAGACTTGAACATGAAAAAACATACTGTTATGACAATTGTGGAGCAGACTTCATGCCGAGTAATAATTGTAATGAGCACCCAAACAGAAAGGTTGATGCGTATATTAATTACAGCAACCCTAAGTTGAACAAATCATTTAATATAACGTACAAAATATTACCGTGCAAAGGAAATGAATCTCATGTATCAGCAGGTAATTTTTCAATTGCCTTTTCTAGCTTAAAACAATGAAATATATATTGGCTTTTATTTGATGAATTATTATATTTTCAAGTTTTGGTGTACTATTTTTAGGAAAAGAATCAGAATGTTTCAGTAAAGAAGATAAAGGTGCAAGTTACCGTGGAAAGATTGCAGTAACAAAGTTTAGTATAGAGTGTCAGCGATGGGATGATCAGTTTCCCCACGAACATTCAAGGTGGGTCGTTGTTGCTGGCGGTTGAAGACAATGTGGCTATATTACAAAATTTACGTGCAATTTGATGCAATTTTTATTGTTTCTTGATAATCAAAAACGACTCGTTTATCTTACATTTACAAAAATATTGAAAAAAAATTCACAACAGTTTCTTTAGGTTTAAAAAATGTATAAAAGTCAGGAATTTACGGACTTTTAGGCAAACTTTTAATAACATTATCTATTGTGCTGGTCATGGTAATACTGTGTTGCCCAGACGTACTAAGAGCTCCGAGTTCATTTTAAATTGATGGGGTTTGGTATTCAAATTTTATAAATGGTCATTTCGATTAGTAAACAAATTTTGTATTATGAAAATGGTGAATAAAACGAAACTAAGAATTTTTATTCTCAATTTTACATCTCAGAACTGCAGAAAAGTATCCTTTTTCTGGACTGGATGATAATTTTTGCCGAAACCCCGACGGAGAGGATGGCCCGTGGTGTTATACAACAAACGATGGAGAACGATGGCAATATTGTAACGTTCCTGATTGCAGCTTAAGTGCGTTGAGTATAATTAAGGTTCATCTATGAATGAGACGAAATTCTTGTTGAAATTATAATTTAGTAGGAAGAGTAGCTTTATCGAAAGTTGGTCAAATTTAAATATTTTTCTGCGCTTGTACGCATAGTTATCACTTGATTGACAAGTACTTTAAATATCTAAAGTGTTTTAACATTTACACATTCTGATTTAAAAATTTACGTAATCTAATTGTAGGAGATTTTTCATCTTTCAAGTGATAATTGATTATATCAAAAAACATTTCAATAAATTTAACCGGTGTGGTTATATGTTTGAACACCTTAGTTTGAGGTTTTGGTACTTGTATAATAAACTCTTGATTTGAATACAATACCCATGAGTAATAAGAAAAGAGAAGCAAGCATAGGTGCTGCGTTAAGAGGTCGGCCGGCGAAACCATTATTTATTATACCCGTAAGCTATTCTTAGGCACATTGTGTCTAACTCATGTCGTTTCCTGATTCAAGCTACAACCGCTGCGAAAACTACCATTCACACAACGATAACACAAGAGACTACGGTTCATGAAAAAATAACTTCGTTGACTCAAGAAACAATTTCTGTTCATTCAACAGAAACGGCGAGTTCACAGAGAGGTAAAAAAAAAATTGAAAATAATTTGAATATTGGGTCTAGAATTCTATCACTGCTGTCGTGGCAAGTTTTTCGGAATATAAAAAAAATAAATTTATAATTTGAAAACTGTTTATAAGATCATCTTAATACTTTCGATATATGAATGTCTACTAACAGCATGGGTATATATTCCCCGATAAAATTTCATACATTTATCAACTTTTTACTCAACTACCATTTAATCTGAATTTACGTACAAAACAATAATTTTGGTGGAATTTTCGTAACTAAATTTTATGGGCTTCATTTGTTCTTTTGGGCAAGTTTTTTATATTATCAATATATTTCTTTTTGTGATAGCAGCTACGCCACCTACCGGATTCGCAGAAGCCAGCGACGCGGGAAAGCAAACAGGGGATAAAACACTAGCCATCGTCTTACCAATCACTGGGGCAATACTGATTATTTTAATCATTTTACTGGCAGTTATTGTGATTAAACGGTAAGCAAATTTTGGATTGGAGCAAATAAAATATAGAATTGATATTTTGATATCAGTGATGGACCCGCCCCCACACCAGGCTATTAATTCGATTAATAAAAAAAACGTTCCAATTGACACGTGTTCCAAAAATTTTTTAACGTCACCCATGCGACTGTTGACAACTGGCATACCATACATAGTATATGTACCAGGTTAGAGTTCAGGTTGTGCGCCATCTTGGTGCACATACTTCGGGAAAGTCAAAATGTTTGATGTTGTGCCTCACATAGTATATTGTGTATCTTATATGTCGTGGGTTGTCCTAATTTCACCATCGAGTCTTATCAAGAAGCCACCGATACTATATTTAGGGAAGGATCAGATAATTCGTAACACGTTGAATGAGATGATTGGGATTTGACAGAAACATTCAGCTTCGATTTTGTTTTTGTGAAAAGTTTAGTTTGAGTTATTACCAAGAACAATTGTTACGTTATTCAAATTTCTTAACTCTTGTTTAGAAAGTTTTTAAAAAGAAATAAAAATTGTTCTTAAATTATTAGGCTGATAAAAAATAAACGAGACTAGCTTTACATTCTTGTATAATTTGTATGAAATAATTGACAGGATGTTAGAAAGCTCATTTTGTAAAAATCTGGCTACATGTAACCTTAGCTGAGACCAACGCAATAACTACGTGAGCAATCTCTAATACGTCACGTTTTGTAACTAGATCGCCTGTTTCAAATTTTCTTGACTATTCCTCAGTAATGTTCTAAATATTTTAGCGCGTTTAGATTTCCAATATTGCTAAAATTTGAACCGAAAAGGATTTTAGTCGACGTTGGATTCAGTATTGTATTGTATATATATAAACCTGATGGGCTTTAGATTTTTCTATACTTTCCTGGCCTCGACAATAAAATACCGTGTTTGAATTGCAATGCGATTGCGATTTCATTTTATTAGGTTTTCATGACGTGTTTGACCTAAGCATTACTCGGTGACGAGTATACAGGCACAAAACGGTGACTCATCATTTTTCACGTAAATTCATGAGCTATGCTTGATGTTAATTCAATAGTTTTTCCTCCTAGGAGGTAGAACATACTCTTCACTTTTCATAATAACTTTTTAATTTATGTCACAGAAGGAGACATCTGAATGCATCATCGAGTGCAAAGACGACGGTTAACAACGCGTATGAACAAACTAATTTCGATCAAGCAGAAACAAGTCCAGAAATGATTGATAATATATTGTATGATTCACAACAACAGAATGAAAAAATAGAAGTTGAAAATGAATTGTATGGAAGTGCGTGAACATTCTCGCCCGTGTGCATAAGAATTTTTAGTGAACATTTGATCTGTGAGTGTCGCGATCAAGTCAGATATTTAGCAAACTTGATTAAAAGATGAACATGAATGAAGCATGAAAAACTGCATAATCTTCTGTCCAAATATTTCATTTATTCGAACCAAGAACATATCATGTATTTTGACTCGTTTGTCCACTTTGACTACTTGTCCTGCTTTTAAAGAAAACTGCTATAAGGTTGTGTGATCATTTAGACCAGAGGTGTGCAACCATTAAAACAGGATGGCCAGATACAATTAACATAGGTATTCTAGTAGTTACAAGCACAAAAATTTTGGTTATTGATCACTTGACATGCGTTGTTCGCTTTTCACGAGCTAGCTTTTGGGGGATTGTAACATTCGTCATAGGCCTAAAAAATAAATTGGAATTACTCGTAGTATCAGTTTAATCTATATAAAACCTAGTTTCGCGGGCCACACACCATTCAAAATTGGCACTTCTACGCAGGCCGCACAATTTTCCCTTATGGGCTGCATTTGGCCCGCGGGCCGCAGGTTGCACACCCCTGATTTAGACTCTCGTGGCATTGTCTATTGAACAAATTTTAAAACAAATAATATTGTTGATTCGATCATGTGTAATATAAATTCACGTTTCGTCATGTTTACTCTTTCAATATTTGTAAGATTTTTAATTTGTTTATTTATTCTATTACTATGCAAGAGCAGAAGTTTTTCGTAACCATGATAATCTATATATGCTAAAAGTAATAAGCATTAATGGGTTTCCATATAATCACATTCACTAGCAGGAAATGAAGTTAGAAAATGTTTTATCCAACCTCCAACCACAATTTAATTGCACTTGTTGGAACTACGAAACCACCAGTGCCGGATTTACCATGATGTAGGGTAGGCTGAAGCCTATGGGGTCTCGACATTCAATTTTGAACTTTAATTCAATTTAAGTAGTTTTTCAATCCTTAATTCTTGTTCCAAAATAAAAATCGGTTTGAATTATGAAACTGATATTTGTTTGATGTTTTAATCAGATTAATAATTCTTTTTCCTTACTATTTACCGCTTTTCAGATCAAATCCTCAAATACGGTCGTACAAATGAATTTGAAAAACTCCACTTCCTTAGTCCTAAAAAATAAAATATGTTAATGTCAATTATGGTATCTGTTTTACCGTTATAATGCCTTCATATTATTTTTTTAACGGCAAGAAAATGTCAATATATATCTACACAAATTCATTTCATCAACAACGAATCAAAGAAGGTTCATATTGTTTACGATTTCAGATCATTTTAGTCGTAAACCAGATTATTTCAAAAATGGAATAAAAATTTTATTTATCAGTTTTTATTTATTTAACAAAAATTAGGCCAATTTGATTTAAGAACTGACGTCAATGTAAATGACGTCAAAATGAACCTCTCAAATGGCACGGCTTAGGCCTCTAATCGTCTAAATCCCGCCTGGAAACCATCATTTATCGAGAAAAAGGAATGTTTACTTGGACTTATCTAAAAAATTTGAAGCATTCTCTCGGGATGTGGTGAAAACGATTTAATGATTTGTTTTTACTATTTGGAGGAAATCTATAACATTGGTTGGCACTGTTGCAGTAATATTCACATTAATTTGACTGTTTCATTTTTTGAGAAAAGCTTTTTATTTTTATGCAAGTATTGTACCGGGTATATGCATGGTGGTTACTGGCAATTTCGAAGCTTTTCATGTATGTATGCCAAAAAGTTGACGTTGTATTATTACCGCCTTCAAACGAGAGTGGGAAATTTTTTTTTTTTTTTAACAGTTCGAATTTAGATTTAAATATATTTGAATTAAAAAAATCAGGCCATGGGTAGTTGGTTTGTAAACAAAAATTACCGCCATGAGAAAGACTATCTAATATTTCACATACTTGTGATTATTTGATATGCAATCTACTTTAATTATTTTGATTCTAGAAAAGCTGCCTTTCTTCTCCACAAAAAAATATTCTCATGTTATTACAAATGCACCATATGCATTTTTTATTGTGATTCCACTTTTTATTGTTTATTTAATGTTCAAAAAAATTGATGATTGTGGTAAAGTAGTAAAGTTTGATTCTATGCAAGTGTTGAATTGTCAACACGATGTCAACTGACTTTTGCTCCCTTTGGCAAAACAAATTTACTCGAGGAAAAGTATTAGAAAAATTTTCTTTCTTTGTGCTTTGTTTTATTTGATGCGACATTAAATATTCAAAGTATTAGAAAAATTTTCTTTCTTTGTGCTTTGTTTTATTTGATGCGACATTAAATATTCAATAAATCCGAATCATTATTTGTTTCGTTTTGTGTATCTGTCACCGAAATGAAGGTACTCCCGTAGTGTGTGTATACCAGGTTAGGGTTAGGCCATAAATTTATTTCGATTTTCTCTTGTTTTAGTTCTGTTACGAGTTCGGAAGTGAATATACCCCCTGCCTATAGGTTTCAATCCCTTCACACTACTCGACGTGAAGTAGACGAATAGAGTTAGTTATCTCCATATGGGTACACACACTTCTGGAGCACCGAAAGAAAACATGAAATTGATGAAAAAGCATTTTATTTCACATCTTTTTTTCTCTGAAGTGTATAAAAATAAATTATTCATAATGTCATATTTAGACATTCGCGGCTTATATCAATGTAAATATCATGTTTTCATGAAAGCAAAACCGGGTTTGAAAATCCCCCGAGAGGAAATAAAATGCTCAACAAATACTATTATTTCAATAGTACCCTATATATTTGGCTGTTTACGTTATTCGATCTTTTTGCTATAAGCATTTACTTTAATGTCGTGCGGAGCGATTTTCACTTAAACTTGGAACAAAAAAGCCACATTTGTTAAGGTGTACAATAATCTTTTGAAGGGAAATATATAGCTTATTACTCTGCAAAACTATATACTCTAAAGGTGGATCAAATGTGTATGGCAAATTTACATTTACAATTTTACATTTGAAATTTCAAAATGTGTAATACTCTAATATGATATCAATTTATGTGCTTTTCAGTTTATCAGATGTAATTCGTAATAAATTTATTGTTTTTTTATTTTGGTATTTCACAATGTTGCACCCAGCATGATGCCTACACTATTATTATGCTACTCACAATTACTCAATAAAAATTCAGAAAATATAGTTAGATAACATATCGATAAAATATTAAATGGTGATGAACATATGCAAACTAGTCATTTTATAGTAAATCTGAATGCAGCAGGTTCTGGGAAATTAGGTATTTAAACTCTTTGTCTATTGGCATATATAGGGTAGGTAAACATCATCATCTAAATTTATGTGAAAACAAGGAAATGACTGCTTCGACTAATATTCATTCTATATGCTGACTTATAATATCAAAATACCTTTGGACATGAAACACATTTTCCGGTATATTGAATTGTGGTGTTGTTTGTTCGTTCCCGTCTATTTTAGGACAAGCCAACAAGTTATTAATTTAATCGAAAATTTCTTATTCACTTCCCCCATGTGTTTTAATGAATTTTCTTGTTGGACACAGCTCGGGAATGTACTAACATATTAAACTGAAATTGTATCGGGGCTTACGTACACTGTTGTTTCGCGAATTAACATGTTTCCATTTTCCATCAAAATAGAATTAGAGATGAGCTTGTAGTTTAGTTATATATGGCGCTATTTGTTGGATGGATGTTGGAATGACTCCTTTTTCGAGTATTGGGAATTTTTGTTAAAAATATCAAAAATTTTCTAAAGTACGCTCAAATTGGATTGCAGGAATCCGCCAGAAGTTTCGAGACTAAAACTTTGCTAGATTTTGTGCACTGAAATTGAATCATGATATAATTACCTAATACGTAAGGAATTCATTCCTTTTAAAAACTTTGCTTAATACCAATATAATATTCTTGTAGATTCAATCACAATTGAAAAAGCATTCATGCCACTTCAAATAGGTCTCACATGGCTTTTTAATAAGCCATTATTGCTTGTCTTATCTCTTCCATATTTATATATATACCCTACGAGATCACATAAAAAATTAAATGGTACTATTACACTTTTATCATATCAAAAACATCATATTTTAGCGCTGCAAGCGTTTAAAATGCTCAGTAAACTAATCGCTCTTTTGGGTTTCTGTAGAATATTTTGACTATTTTATCGTCATTGTAAGCTCCGATTACGACTTCACAGACTTGATTCTATAACACTCACTTTTTAAACCTTGCCACGTCTCTCAAGTTTTCAGATAAATAGAGTAAGTATAAATCGCACAACTTACCTCAAAATTGTTTTACATTACCGTAAACTCTTAATAGTGTGCTTGTTACTATTGATTTTTCCTATCAATAATCGATGCCTTTAAAAATAGGTAAATGTTTCATATATTTAGGTATGACAGTACTTATATATTTTATCCGTTACGAAAAGTTGATTATTGTAGATAGTTTTTTTTATTACTAACTGGCCAATTACATAGCGGTTTGCTATGTACTGCCAAAATGGATCCAGTTACCTTATTAGGTATGTATAATAATAAAATCCGAAATTTAGATATGCTTTATTCTAGGAAGTAGAAAAAAATTGTCTTTCTTGAAAAAATTCCATTGCTCATTTTTGATCGTTTGAATATCCCTAAATTTGCAAAATGTACTTTTATGTATTGGGTAATTTAGCTGGTTTTTGTTAGCATCGTAACACCGTACTAATAAAACGAGTGTTATTGATTGAAAGCTGACACCTAAAATCTGGCTTACCCACCGCAATTGATAATGCGACAACGATTGAATAAATTAAAATTAGCAGTCCCCGCAGCCTGGTAGAAGGAAGAGTATCACATGGAAGATTGCTGAATTACAAATAGTGTCCTTTATAGATGACAGAGATTTTTTATGTATAGTACATGGTTTAAAAGTTTCATAATAGATGCTGCTTGTTTGAAGAAGGTTAACTTCGGTCAGGCACAACGTTACAAAAATACATTTGTGTTGATCAAATCTTTTGTCGTTAATCAAATAGAATAGTCTTCTTTATTTTTGCTACAGCATCCGTGCGTTATACGCATACGGATTCAATAGCGCAAAGGCAAGAGCAAGAAAAGATGGTAGTTAGTCTTGTGTAAACGCAAGTGATAGTTACTTTGAATTAGACGAAGAAAGGTATGTATAACAAAATGAGTTTGTGAGAGATCAACGAAGGATATCATTTTGACAATTCAAATTAAAAAGTCGTATTCGTTTCATTTAATAGATCTAAGATCCGAAGTTTTTAACGAAACAAAGTCTGGTCATTGCATTAGCAAAGCAAAAGAGTAGCACAGCGTTATAAAATTGTTAGAGGTAAACATTTTAGAGTTGTCCCCAATGATATCAATCATACGTCGAGAACACTACGGCATGCAAGCTAAACCATTCAACTGATTGATATATTCACTTAATTATTGATGTTTACCTCCTAACGTATCAGTTCTTTTCTTTTCGTTTTTTGATGTTTCTCTAAGCAATACGAAGTCTATTTTTACTACAGTACCTCCAAAGCTTAATCACCTTATATTAGAATAAAATTGTTTAACACAACGGGATTGTCAAAATTATTATATATTTATATATTTTTGTAAAAAATATTATTTATTTTAAAGTTATAAATTGTTTGATTTGAATATAATAGCACTGATTTTCAAAAAAAAAAATTGCTTCAAGACGGTTACAATGTGATTTTCCTCATGAAACAATATTAACTGAATATATCGTGCAAGAGAATAAATAATTCGTACAGAAAAACCGAACAGTGGCTTCGCATCATTATCAGCAAACGCAGATGGGCGTAGTTTAGTATATAGGCCTGTATATCTGATTTCAAACTGTGACAGGTGGCTATGTCTTACTCGCAATCGAGGCTATAAAAACATTTGTTATAAATATCATAGGTGCCGACCGAATTTTAGTTTACAACTTTCACTATAAGCTTGGCGCAAACATTGAATTAATAGTAATTTACGCTACTGACCAAACATATTTCTTGTCAGAATTTTGATTAAATCTTAAGTGGGAAATAAATTATATCAAGTATATACAAATACAATTTAAAACATAGTTCATTGGATCAAACCTCAAATTCAAGGCTTCACTACACGGACAATACTATTTAGAATTCCCCCGTGGTGTAACATTGATAAGCGGTAAATTTTTATATGAGATGAGTTGTATTGAATTACTTCAAAAAGCTAGGTAATATAAATACGTTTATTGCAAAAACAAATTTTTGAAAACCATGAAAGACAATTTAAAAATCAAACGAAAATTTTGATACCCGTGAAACGTTCTTTGGGAATTCCTGACACAACAAATTCTACGCATAAATGTTACGAGCGTCAAATTGTGTGTTTCACGGGAATCTGAGGATCAAAGTGATACAATTGAAGGTTCTATTTTAGTACGCCGAACCTTCTAAATATTCTGTAAGTTTTCCGCCTTTAAAGATAGATTATAAAATTAATCAGGAAGTCAAACAGGAAGTAAGTCAGTAGGTTAACAGATGCATTTTGTATTATCCAGCACAATTGAATGAAAAAGTTGTTGACAATGTCAAAATTTGACATCCACATCCATTTAATGGATCAATGGAACACTTTTGCAAAATGGCGCTTCAGATGTGTATGTACCAATATGGAGGTAACTAATTTTGTTCGCCTACTCTATAACTTGGTATAACCAAGTTGTATACAGGAACTGAAACCTATGGGCAGGGTATATTCACTTAGCTAACACAGACAGAAACCGAACTCGTAATAGAACTAAAATATTCTCAGCTTAGGAAAGCTTAAGGAAAATGGAATAAAATTATGGCTTAACCCTAACATGGTGCATATACTACGGGAGTACTCTTTTAGTAACAATTAAAATGGTGCTAGCGTCTTTTTTCTTCGCAATTCAAGTTGCCGAAAGTGATTCAACTAATGAACGCTTGTAATACTTATCTCTTTCAGCTGTGTTTAAGGTTAAAAACCTTAAATTATTAGAAATTGTTTAAAGCCGTTTTGTTACGTAATTTATACGTCACAATTAAATATTTATTCGGGATAAACTGTAAAGCTAATTCACAACAATTTTGTGATAATGATTCGTAAACAAAGTTAAGCCACGTTGGCGCGATAATGTATCGATCAACAAGTATCAATATCAGCAGTACCCTACTTAGCAAAAATAATATTTAAATTTGAAAAATCGATACGATTTAAGTAGGAGACATAAAAGAGGCAAAATGGCTACAGTGATATAGTGTTTGTTTACAGGCTTATTTGATAGTAATGCATGCACACAACTGACTGGTAACGAGCAAAAGATTCAGTTTAGTCAATGTTTTGAATGTCTATGCCACCTGTTCCTAACCGATGGGCATGTACCACTGCTGGGCCACAGAGACATATTTGGGTGGGCAACAACCTATCAAAAATTTCTATGGTTATTGAAAGATTTAGTTTCATTTATAGTATAGGTTCCATGCAAATAAATAATTATAGTGACTTTTAATTTCTATTCAATGCCTCGATGAAGTTCTTGTGTGGAAGTAGAAATGTCGGAATATTACACCGTTTTGCCAACACCAGTCCGGCTTTATATATTCTCAACATGAATATACCTGTTGACAATGATATACGTTGTACATTGGTTGCACTTTATTGTTCACTTACTCGTTGTGCATCGCCGAATCTCCTTCCTATAGGAAACGCACCGCAATTAAAAACAATAGTCAATCAATTATCCGAAAGTGGTTCCCTTAAATAGTATCGATCGATTGTAACGCGCGTTTAGATGCTTGTTTGATTAACTAAAGTTAATCTGTTAAAGATCAAATCAGGATTACAATTAACAAAAAGACGTTTGTCGCAAGAGGTTTAATAAAAGTTAATATTGATTCTGACTTTACGAAAAGCTGTTGATCTTTTTACAATGAAAAATGCGGAAAGTAAGGCAGTCGTTTTTATGGTAAATGCAATGATGCAAAAAATTTCAACGCGTTATTTTTGGCCTAAACGTTAAAGTTTTTACACAATTTTCAAAAGATCAATTCAAAATATTGTTATTGTAGATCCGTCGGTAGAATATAAAAAATTGTAGAAATTTAGTATTACTTTCAAAATGGAAACTGTAATCATTTATAGTATATTATTTATTCAATGGAACACTCGTATGTTAGGAAGTTGTATTTTGATTGTCCAAATTTTTAGTATATATAGTATATTAAATATAAATAACGAAAGACTCGTATTTTAGCAAGTTGTCTTCAGTTCTTCAAATTTAAATACAAAAACTACCAGGAAGTGTTCCTTGCCTATTCTTACCGAAATTGAAATAAAAAACTGGTTGTGATGAATTGGCCATAGCTGATCTTTCTGGATTCGATCGATGGAGTAAAACCAATATTATCGGCCATATTAATAACTAAGACATTAAATATTTAGAATTACCTATCTATGCAAATAGTTAATATATTGCAAAGTTGAATATTTAGTTTATAGAAAAATTGGTACTCCCGTAGTATATGTACCAGATTAGGTTCAGGCCATAGTTTGGTTACGATTTTTCGTAAGCTTTCCGGTTGAACTGAGAATATTTTAGTTCTATTACAAGATCGGGGACTGCCTGTGTTAGCCAAGTGAATATACCCCCTGCCCATAGGTTTCAGTCTCTTTATAGTTATACGACTTGATGTAAAGTAAGTGAACAAAATTAGTTATCTCCATACTGTTTTATACACTTCTAAATAGCCGAAAAATCAAGGTCTTCATAATATATGAGAGATAAACAAAATATTGTAGATCAATGTATACTATCTTGAGTTGGGAAAATTGTTGAATTTTAATTCTTAACATTTTAAGACGAGGACGCTCAGAGAATGCTCGTACCTATAGTAGCATTGAAATCGAAATATAAGTGAGTGTTTGTGCTATGTTCATCATAATGAATATGTAACATTCCCAGTTATTTCGTACCCATTGATTTAGTAACCCCAATATTATTGGCCATAATAATAACTACGACCATTTTAATTATTTTAAATTAACCGGCAATACAAATAGGTAATATATTACCAATGTTACCAAAGTCAAATTTTTAATTTCCCAATAGCAGTAAAGGTCAACCTCTATGAGCCACGAAAGAAAAGCTTGGGAACCATTGGTCCATACAAACCTTTTTGCTATTGTATGCGTTAACGGATTATGAAACGAACAGTAACCTTTCAAATGATATTGATTATCACTTAATGGAATTGCAGTTTTCTTATAACTTTTCAATGTGACCTAATGATACAATACGTCCCTTGTGTGCTTCACAATATTGAGCCGACTCGTAGGAGGTTCACGATTTTATTAGCTTGATAGTGAATGACAGAATAAAATACAACAAACTGATACTTGGCAACCATTTGGCGTTGTTGGAACTTTTAGGTGGGTGGACAGAAATAGGAAACATATTATGGTAAATTATCTATTATTCTCGGTGTATCTTTTTGTATGAATGAAATAATTACCAAGTATTCTTATAATGGAGTCATATTGGAGTAGTTTCACAAGTGGGAACCAGAGACAGGAATTTTTTAGTTCTCTTTGGAAATAATTGGGTAGAATGCAATTAAATATGCTTATAATTGACTTTCACGCAAAGTGGTACACAGAGGAAGCAAATAAATTTATATTCTTTCTCCAGTTATCTTGTTATTCTCATTGTACCTTGTTGTACAAACTTTGAAAATAAAGAAATAAGGGCCATCAATTATGCTTATAATTGATTAAAGTTAGAAGTAAAAATAATTGGTAATTGTCTCATTGAGTCATTCATTTCATATAGACTTGATATTTAAATACTGTAGTTTGGCTTCTTCATGTTTATAATCATGCCTTGAGCATAAACAAATATGCTAGTACAAAAAGAAAATCCATCTAGAATAATTTATTTGTATTTTACTGTAGCGAAACTATATAAGAGAAGAGTATTTTAGTTATTCGAATTGAAGCATTTAATTGTTAGCATCATATTGAATAATTATTTGATTTGAATAATACGAATAATTGCCAGATACGGATTCGAATTATAAAGTAGACAAGGAGAAATGACCTGCAGTTTTATACGCATTATCCAAGCACGTCCCTTATCCGTATATTTGATTTGACTTAAATTTAGCTAGCACAAGATCAAACTAATTTTTAATCAAACGCCTTTATTACAGTCTTTTTTAAAGTAAATAGATACTATTATAAACTCTATCTATCATTAATGTATCTAAGTTCATTTGCGGGAGACAAAATATGCATCGAGGCAAACAAACTTTGGAAAAAACCTCAAGAAAAAAAGATAACGAACATAAACCAACGAGAAGCTCAACACATGCTTCCGAAGAGCAACGGCCGTGATATGACAAAGGGGATAGACAAAGAAACTATATCGGATATATGTAAAGAACGGTGTTTTAGCCACGATCCAGATGCCAAAATATCCAAAAATATTAACAAACATGATAGAACTTTACAAACAATAAAAGTCGAACTTGTTCCAATCGAAATGTTCCATAAAATGTGTATTACGAAATCAAGTGAATCCTGTCCATCTGCCACAAGTAGTTTTGCAAATGAACGGAATTGTGGAAAGAGAAAAAGTTGTAGCGAGAAAGGAAAATCAAACCCGAAGAGAATGGAATCGACAGGACAATGGGTGAAAAGCCAAACTGATTTTAATAATAATAATAATAGACATATTGATAAATATATTTGGAGGCTGCCAAAGGAGAGAACCAGTGACGCCCAAGACAACCAACCTCCAAAAATAATAAAAGAACTATGTAAAAAAAACTTTCCCTCTGATTCTCAGGGCACTTACCTACACACACATAACAGAGTTGATGTGGTTCATAGGTCATTGCCAACACGTAACGAAATGCTATATAAACAGCCTCGCAAGTATTACGCTGAAAGAACAAGATATATATCTTCCTTACAACCCCGTGAAATAAATAGGTTTCGAGTCTTGGACAGACAACCCATTCACAATAAATATCCACTTAACACTGTCGCTCAATGCAGAGTACACATTAATTCAAAAGCAAAATTATTGAACGAATGTCGTAAGGATTATATTCAACAACCAATGAATCGAAGGATATACGAAATCTCAAATGGACATCAACGACGAGCTATAAAAGCAAGATCAGCTTCTCCGGTAAGACTGAAGCGATCAAATACATCAACAAAGTCTTTGTTCGATCCTTGGGTAACTCTTGGAATTTGTTTTTGTTTGGACAACGATTCTGATGATTCCGATAGCGAGGACGAAGAAACGGAAAATGCGCAAACGTCAAGAGCGAAGGGAACACAAAAGGCTCGAGACACTTCAAGCGATGACGACGGTAGGCAGAAAAACATGTAGCTAGCTCAGCGGTGTGGCGCATCGTGCTAAGCGTTAGGAATACGCTCGCCACCGCATCTCGAATTACCCTGCGTGGGGTTCCCAGTTTCGAATCCCATGCGGGGGCGGTTATGTGCGAGAGTATTACTGGACTCCTCGCCGCCGTAGGGTGGTTTACGTAACCGCTGGTCGGTTACGGCTTCCTCCACCATCAAGTTCATGCTTCCAAAAACAAATAATTGGTCCGACTAATCCCATAACCGACCTGGACTGGTGAACAGACGAGAGGCCGTGGTTCGCCATATTATCCCGGGATAAATATGTAAATCCTAATAGAGCTATAATAACAACCCTCGATTTTTTATAAGTTCCTGTTTGCCATTTCTCCGCTCTGACTTTGACATGCAGCCATGCCTATGACTTGCAACAGGAACAAGAATTGCTCCAGAATTTATGTTTTCCGTCTGTAAAACGCTAATTAGTGATAGCTAAGAATAACGCTAGTAATGATGGAATTAAATGAATATTTAGGTATATAAGAGCAATGAAATAAGAATATTTTATCAACTATTCTCTGTGCAACCAATATGCTATGTTTTCATATGAAGAACACGCGTTTCAATTCAATATAAACAGATGTGTGTATAAATATTTCAATTATTACATAAGTCAGAGAATAGATAAATTTAATTTCTCCATTGTCGTAAGCAGTAGCCGTTTTAAATTTATGTCACTCTCTCTTGAAGCAAAAGTCGAAAGTGTTGTCTCAAGAACCTTATTATGAATAATTCCTTATAAATCTGACTTTTAGGTGGCAGCGACACAGACCTAGACGACGATATATCAGAGACAGACAGCAAACTCGGCGACAGTGTCGCTTCAACGCCGAGTGCTCAAAACGGCAGTGATGGCGGAGATGATTCGGATTCGGGTTCGGAAGAATTTGACGGAGAAAGCTTTGCTAGGTTTGGGCTACACACTTCTAATTGCATTACCACGCGTTAACACAGCACAAAAATTTTTTACAGAACAGCTGAGCGAGACGGAGTTTTTACTGACAATCGACCTTTTTTCAATGTTTAGTATATCATTTGCATTGGAGAAAACATTTAAAACTCATCTTTTGTTATGCTATTGCAAAATTCTAAAAAGCAATTAATTAGAAACGCTGACTGAAAAATCACAAATTTGCTTTCAAGTTATAAACCGCGAAACCAAATCGGGAAACCGTCGAATCAAACCAAACCCGGAGATATCGGTATGTACGGTACGAAAAATAATCTGTTTTAGACTTCGTGTCCATATCTGTGAGCTCTTGATTATACGACTCTCGCGGCCTTTGTTTCGAACAAGTAGTCTTGCAGGCAGTTTTTAATATATATTTAGGAATTCAATAAAATCGTTGAGAAAACGGGAATTTTTTCAAAACATCCTGGGTGAGTTAGCGGGAAAGAGATTTGATCACGAAATGTGAGATTCAAGATTCAATCTCTAAGTCGCATAGCCTGGACATGCCCTCCATAAATTCTTACGCCTTCTCAGTACCATTTTTTGCTATTTTGCTATTCTTAAACGATTTACTGGAAACATTACTTTTCCTGGCTTGCTATGAATAATCTTTTCATCTAATGAGCGAATCGAGTTATATGAAACAGAGATTCCTTAGGAAATTGTTAGATAAGAGTGGCCCCAAATTTTTTGCGCTAGCTACGCTCTTTGCCCGTGTCATGATTTGTTCATTCTACGTTCTGCAGTTCGGCCTACGAAGAGGAGGTGATGGAAATAGAAGACACAATGCAAGGAATTGGAGGATTCTATGACGATGACAACGATGATGATGGAGGAGATCGTGGAATCGGGGATGAACTGGGAAATGAGAGTCATGGAGATTCTGAGGATTTTTATTACGAAGGTTTGTGAGTCAAGACTTTACAATGCGAGACACTTTAAATACGTCGATCAAACCGCTATTATAATTATTGTGAACAAATATGAGAATATGTGAGAATATATAAAAGAAAAAAAATAAATCTTGAAAATGAAATCTAAATGTGATTAAAAAGTGAAAACTTACTATGCTGGTCGGTTAGTTCGCCAAAGCCATACTTACGGACAACAACAGTAATACGAAGCTAAAGTGCCCGATCTTTTAACTTACAATTAGATATTAAACCTTGAAAGACTAATCTCGAAAACCAGCGCTCGCTCATGGCGGCTTTGATTGTCCAGCAAAATCATGTCCAAACTTATTTTCCCGAATTTGTGTACGTTCGATTTTTAATGATTGGAAGAAATTAACCTGACTAGGTTTGATAGAAATTGGGAAGCAAAAGGTCTACGAAATATCCCACCGCTAGATGGGATCTTCCATGTACAAAATTATTCTCTGAAATTTCCAATTTCGTTAATTCATATATTAGAACCTTGGGTGTCGCTGCTTGATAACCAGTTTTGGTCGTCGTGGCTTCCCCCAGTAATTCTGTTCAATTCTTTTTTATTTGTGTACGATTCGTTTTTTTCAAGTGGTTGGAAAAAAATAAACTTGGCTTGACTTATGTGAAACGTGCAAGTGTAAGCGATGAAACTTGGATTCGTTGCAACAAGAACAAGTTTCGTAATTTGCTTGCACGTGATTGATAGTAAGCACTATTTCTCATTGACCAATTGTTGTTAAATATCTGCTCAATACCCATCTCCAGATGATAAAATTCAGATGACGATTGTAATAAAAATCCGGGTACTCCCATAGTGTGTGTACCAGGTTAGGCCACAATTTTATTCCGATTTCCTTGTTATAGTACTATTACGAGTTCGGGGACTGTCTGTGTTAGCCAAGTGAATATATCGCCTGCTCAAAGGCTTCCGTCCCTTCACACAACTTGATGTAAAGTAGGCGAACAAAATTAATTACCTCCATATTGGTACACACACACCTGGAGTGCCCAAATCCGTGCATCTCATGGTCTGCTTTCTTCTTTTACATGTATCCCTATTGTATATAATATGTCGTATTATAGATAAGTTAAATCAACCTGAATATGGAATATTAATATTCTTTTAGATTCCGATGAAACGACAGCTCTTTATTACGGTTTAGACGATGTGGATACGATTGCTGAAGAAGACCAGTTCGATTTATATGAAATATATAACTACTTTTAAACATTTCTAATCGAATGTAAAATGAATTGATGTCATGTTGTAATAAATCTTAATTTTGTAATATTGTGTACATTTTTGATTTATATAATTCCCCAATTTTTCAGCACTCTGGGGACAAATAAAATTTGATAAAATATACTTTATATGTGAAAAATACAACCTCATACAATTTGAGTCTGAGAATATTTAATTTCAAATTTTCAAACTTCGTATTTTGGTATCCGTATTTTTGCTTTCAAATTCGGTAAGGTTCTGCTCCGCGAAAACATCAGTTTCAGTAGTACTGGTCATTCGAAGCGTTTCAAAACGGGAAAAATTTACGTTTTCTTTAAAGCCAAGTACTTGTGCAAAACAAAATACGGTATACTCTTACTCAGAAAAATATATAAAAAAATACAAAAATCAGTTTCAGTAGTACTGGTCATTCGAAGCGTTTCGAAACGGGAAAAATTTACGTTTTCTTTAAAGCCAAGTACTTGTGCAAGAAAAATACGGTGTACTCTTAGTCAGAAAAATATATAAAAAAAAATACAAAAATCAGTTTCAGTAGTACTGGTCATTCGAAGCGTTTCGAAACGGGAAAAATTTACGTTTTCTTTAGAGCCAAGTACTTGTGCAAGAAAAATACGGTGTACTCTTACTCAGAAAAATATATAAAAAAATACAAAAATCATGCAAAATGTTTGGAATAAATAAGCACTTTTTGATTACTCCAAATCTCTCAGGTTCGAATGGAATCCGCGCCGCATTAGGGTGGTTCAAAACAATCGCTGGTGCGTTACGGCTTATTCCACCATCAAGTCCATTAAATTGAAACAAATTACTAGTGTCATGACGAGTGGCCTGCACAACTCAAATGAACGAAAGGTCCGCTAACCTAAAAAACAATTGTTCATGAGCCGCAAGTTATCATAATTGCCGTTATAACTTTTATTTTCGTAAAAAAACGTGTAAACAGTGTTATTCGGCACAACCAGCTTTAATGAGATATGTTGCATGGGTGAAACGGTAGCATATCACCGAGTAGCTGTCTTGGTCACTTGGTAACATTAACACCGTCGCAATAAGTCAGCCATTACGCATTGCAGTTGCATTATCGATACTTACATTGCAACGGCCGGTTCTACAAATAAGTATGCTCGCCAAGGCTCTCAAAAGAGTTCTCAAAAGATTTATTTTGTATGCTGTAAGCTGCGATAGTCCCATGAAACAAGTAAAAAACTTAATTTCATAACAGAAATGTTCTGATTAAAACATAAAGTATTAAATAAATGCGAAAATGCGTCCTACTTTGACGGAAATCAGACCAAGAAGATAAAACGGCGTGTAAAAACACGGTCACTCGAGCAGAGGTGCTCGGAATCAATCATGAATGGCCAGTTCTGACTCAATGGGCAATATATCAGTCAAAACCATGACTCTGACTCCACAAAGTTCTGTATACGACACCAGGACAATGTTTAAATTTTATCTCCGATATTTTTTCCAATTAAACAGAAATATTACGACTTACTCTTTAAAATTATACTGACTATCACGAGTTCAAGTGGAGATAGGCTAGGAATCTTGCGTTACAGTTTATCCCCAGATATCAGGTGAACAAGCTCAATGACATGCGTGTTGTAGATTACCAGTGATGCAACCCTGTTTTCAGTCCCGTTGCTAAACAAGCTAACACATGTTTATTCTGTAGTTTTTTTTTTTTTGTCGTGGGTTTCATGCAGTAGTGCAGTATTTCCAACTTCTTTCCAAGTAACAGAAAATTTTTAAAAAGGATTTTTTCTAAATCTCGCGATCCAATGATATAATACTGGATGGTATGTAATGCTTATCGATTACATGGTCACAAAATTAACTGACTAATATAAAACAAATATTGTTACATAAAATTTATTTCCCCAAAATTTAACTCAACAAAAAAGCTGCGCTTATTTGCCATAAGCGAGTTTTTGAAATCGTGGTGTCGCTTTGCTTGAGAAAAACAGCATTTGCCAAGTTTTACGCTGTGATGCTTCCCACATATACAATTACTATTGGGCAACACTTCGATACAAATATTAAACAAACTAGAAAATAAAGAAGTAACTATAGATTCCTGTTAAAAAAATAAGCGTTCCAATGAAATTTTCAGGCGGCCCATTTTTGGGTTTCGACCCATGGGATGGGAAAAACTGCAGTAAGGCGAACCGTTCTCAAAATGTGGCGATAATCAGCGAACTCGTTCTTGGTTTTATTTTAGACGCCAGACGACCGCAGAGAATAATTAACGTCCACCGCAGCTGAGGACTGGCATTATACTAGCCGGTTATGTATTAGATATATGTAAAACGTGTAATTCTAATGTAGTTTGCGTAGTGACATATATAAAGTTTCTGAAATCAGCAAAATCCATTGTTACTGAGGTCAAAATAAAAGTGAAGCTGTTTTTAACGATTTGAATCCCTAATCACTGGTTTAATTGCTATCTGTCAAAATCCTTCTAAAAACAAAAATTTATTTCATATCTTATCGCTCATCAAGCTCTTTCAGACTTGGTCACGCGCACCTTCACTGATTCAAAGCATGCAATGCGTTTTGGGAAAAGATAAATAATTTTCGTATGGATTTACCACACGGTATCTCCGAACTGTATATGCAGCCAATGTTATGCATGGGCTGAATGTTCTTGGAAATATCGGAACCTTTCAAACCAGACATCGCATATCCAATCTATTACACAGTGGTTTGACGCTACGCCTGTTTTGAACCGATTCTTGCAGCCCACACATCTAACTGAGATATCGTGACTTGAGCGATGAATTCACGGCGCATTGAATAAGATATTGATTTGGATATTGTTGTGGCATAAATCTCGGTTCTTAGTGATGAAAACAGCATCGCGATGCGTTATATATGGGCGTCAGATTTATCAAAAAATCTGAAGAGAGCCTTATATAATTATCAGTGTTCAAGCAATTAGGAAACGCCTAATGTGAAAAAAATATCAAAAATAATCATGTTTTCGAGAATATGACACCGCAACCTTCGCGACTTCGCCTGACCACCAGATCGCGAACGCGTAACCCCCACAAGGTGCGCAATTTTGAATTATATTGTGATGACGTCATCGCTCATAAGGAACAAATTCCATGAAGCCAACAGAAATCTTAAAAATAAGTAATAGCCTTCTAGCAAAAATACAAGCTTCAATAGGCAATTGGTCCAGTAGATGAAATTCATATTAACAAAGACCTAGATATTATTACTAAGTGGAACTTGTCCATCACCAAATAAATATTTGGCAACTTGCACTATCTATAATCCAATCAAAAGGTTATTTCGTTGAATTGTATTGACATATTATATATTCAAATCTAACAGTTAAACAAACATTTAAAAATTAATTTCCAATCCTTTAACATAAAAAATATAGCAAAATTATTCACAAATGCGTTCAGTTCAAAGACCATTCCATAAACGTAGTTTTCTATTAAAAGATCTGGATCATCAGGATGATTTTTGAAAAATATGAAAAAGATGCAAATAAAAATATCTGATGCAACGCAAATTGTAGACAAAATCGCAGCTTTCTTGAGTACTGAAATAATTGATCTCGGCGGTTTTAGACTTTGTTTGCGTTGCTGTTGTATAGTCCCGTGTTCACTTGTCGGGCGCGCGGTTATGTCCTCCGATGATGAAGAACTTCTGCGGGCTTCAACTATGTTCTCTACTGTTGTTGTTTGAAATATTGATGCAACATTTGCTTTGACTTGTGGGCATGACCTCTGCTTTAACATCTGTCGCCAAAGAGGGAATATAAACAGAAATAAAAGGATTCCTTGACTTGCTGACGATATGATAATTTGCACTGCATATATCACTCCAAGTAATGAATTTTTGCTCGCGTCTTCAACGCACTTGCCATTTATAGACACTGTCTTTGTTAATGTATACACTGTACATAAACTGTATACATTGCTGATTACAATTAAAGACAAACACACAAAGCTTAATTTGTGAAAACAATTTGGAACTAGCCTTTGCATGTTAGGTTTTGAGTAGAGCATGTATTGTCGAAACCACAAGGTGAAATAACAAATAAAAATATTGATGACGTATAATGACGCATTTGTAAAAATCATGGCGGAACATACGAAGTCATTTGTCGTCAAAAACATCGTAAGCAACATGGATTGCATTGTTCCACATCTCATCACAGTTAAAAACATTGTACAAAATATCAGAACGTAAAACACTAATGTTTTTCGTCGCTTTCCGCGGAAGAAATTTCTTTTATTTAAACCATACTTTATCATGGCAATGAAAGCTATGAATGTGAGAACAAACACACACACATAAATTGATTGACATATAATCCACTGTGCGGTTTTATAAGGAGTAATTTTGTGTTCGCTTGAATTTGATGCATGCTGATAATGATCAGAACTGTTCATAAGCGTCGCAGTATTTCCATCTCTTTGAATGACAATTGAATTCATTGTTTTACTCTATTTTTCCACACTGTTAATATTTTACAAAAATGAAAAAAAAATCATTATATTAAACTTTGAAAAGCAATCCAACGCATTTACCATAACAAAACACAAATTATCCAAATTCGGTGCAATATAAACTTAAAAATACCGATACAATAGAAATAATATTGCACAAAGTGCTAATCTGAATTAAATAAAAGAAGACTTTTTTTAGAGTTACCGACAAGATTCCTAATAAATCTTGAAATAAAGAAACATCGAAATAAATTCAACCAAATTTCTGTGGAGTAAATAAAAATCGTATACGTATGAAAAATCGTATCGCATGCATGTTATGACCATCACAACGGCAATCTGAAACCTTAGTCACATATAAAATATTGTAGAACTTTATAAATAAATAGACATACTGCTGAACAGAATTTGAATATACAGTGAAAAGTTAGAACTTCTGATTATATGATCATATAAACTGTTTATCCTTCCCTATAGCACCTATTGAATACATTTGTACTGAAGCAACATGAAATGGAAGAATTTAAGAGGTTTCATCACTTTAAGGTCGCTGTAACCTTATTTACCCTCTGTCTCTAAAAACTCAGCTTACTAAACCTTTTTCTTTTTAAAAATATCACCTAGGATACAATTGTAGCACCTTGTGCTTTTATTATAACAATCTACAATATAATAGGTATAGTAAAAAATCAAGATTACTCAGTGTACGAGCGAGCAAAGAAATGCAGCTCAAAATCAGTTGCCACAGTCATATATGTGAACAGAGTTTACGTTTTTGCTGTATTTTTTTCCGATTTTTATCTAACTATTTCTCATGAATATATGTTGCTTATTTATTTATTTATCTTTTTAAAAAAAATTGGCTCAAGTATCCATTTTCAGCTTCGTTCATATAAACTGCATATGTTTAAAACTCACAAATTGCACAAAATAACTTCAAATGGAAGACAAAATTCAAACAACTTTGCTACGCTTTGTAACATAATTGGTTTATTTTACGACAATCTTATAATTTGGGCCATTTTCGCAGATTTGGATAAACAATTTTGCCTGGGGGCAGGTATAATTTTCTAGTATTCCAAGCAATTTACGTTTATTTATTTCCTCAACGCACTATCAATTTTAAATCCCACTCTGAGCCGTTGATTGAAAAGTAGCAATCAACAAAGTATCGTGAAAATGAGTTATTTCTATATTAAATTAGGCAATTTCGAATTCGCTTCATGAGTTCGCTGTAAAATATTTGAAAATTAAAAAAATATATTCCTTGGCTGAATAAACAACCTCATCAATCACACTCTATTGCATAAATAGAAAATATAACTTGCAGTCCACCTCCACACATAAGTATTGCTGTAAAATATTTGGATATAAAACAAAGAGCGAAATAAATAAATTTGATGACGTCATCGCACACAAAAAAAGAATTTCATAGAGGTCACAGAAATAAATAATTAAAAGTAATGGCCTTCTAGCAAAAATACACTCTTTACAAATGAATTGGTCCACAAGTTAATATAAAAAGCGATGTTTTTTTCACAACAAGAAGAATAAGTAAAGAAATACTAACATGATGATCAGCAACAACAAAATAACAAAAATATCCATAGGTTCATTTCATTTTTTAAAAATTTTCTCCGATGCATATTTATTCAAGCAACTTTATCAACAGAATCCTATTGCACAAAGTCGTCAAAATTAAAACAACAGCCACCCAGCACTGAATCTATGTCCATTTCATAGCAAAAATGTTGGACAGTAAAATCATCTACGCTGAAATACTTTTACTTCCCATTTGAATGGAATTTTCTTGCAGTTCTTGGGTTCCAGGGCTGAGTACACGAACGCAATTTGAACTTACAGCAGATACGAAAGTCTGTAAATAATGATGAATAACTTGCAACAACAAAAAGAGATAAATGTATCGAAAAATAACAGCAACTTTTCTTTCTGGAAAAAGCGTTGGCCCATCGTGACTATTGTGTCTAATTCAAAACATTCTGGCATCGAAATTACGAAATTGCACCTTGGTATAGCTCAATTAGTTTACTACAATTCTAGCGTGATGCGTTTCTAATGCGAATTTAATCGCATTCGTCATTCTTGTATGAATTTCAAACACTTGTTTGCACACCCGTTTGAATAATAGATGATGATGAAGTTACTTCTCCTAAAGTCTTTAAAGTCAATTCAAGCAGAATTACAAATAAATTATTGTTGCTTCAACTTTCGTAGATGTTTGAGTAGTTTCCACATCTGCATTATGAAAGAATTAGAAATAAAATATATTTAGGATGTTTATTATTATTATTATAGATGAGTGTTCATGCCTCTATTTTTGTGTTCAATCACAGATAAATTTCATATACGATTTAGTCTCAAATCTCGAAAAATCTAACCGTGTTTATAAAAATGAATATATAACTGAAATTTTAACCTGAATAAGCGAAATTAATTGACCACGTATTGAAATGTAAACACGTCAAAGAAAGAAAGAATTACGGTATTTCTAACATGGAAAGCCTCCTCAAGGAAATGGAAGAGAAATGAAATAGAATTAAATCATGCCACTCGGCAAGTGGCGCGTGACCCTCGCGGATATATAATTTTATTTTAAAACAAAAAGTCAATCGACGACAGAGACGGCCAAACCATCACTCATGCTCTTCAGATACTTAAAAGTAGGGGTTATCATCCTATACTAGAGGAATGCCACGAATTAAAAATACGCCGGGAACATTTATATGAATTTCGAAAAAAATCTCATCCTGTTGGTCAATGCTGTTTCTGTTTCAACATTCGTAGGTGAGCTCATCCTGTAGAAGTGCCACCTTTTAAATACCACAAGACCGAAAACTTTCTACCGGACCGGTCGCTTACGTTACCGTGGCGGATAGCGCTCTGGATCATCCCCGACAGTATCTACCATTACCGATACCAGCTCCGTGGTGCGTCGAACCAGTGCAATATTCCTCCTTTAATAAAGAAGTTCAAATTGGAAAAAAATGCAAGATTCATCAAAAGCTGTTTTTGCGAAGCCGATGTACAATTAAAAAAAACTTTGATGGGGGCGGGTGGGGTAATGGGTTAAGAAGAGGAAAAAGAGAAAGGGGGACGGTAAACTAGTTGATATGGCATTCGTGGATTTAGGAATACACAAAAAACAAAAATTTGAAAACGCAATTCCGATGAAAACATTATTTCCTTCTAGTTATTTATGTACACGAATCCGTGCTGTAACTGTGAACATTTTCTGTCAACATTTTTGACACAGTCAGGATCAATGTCAGTCAGTACTCAAGAGTTTTACAAGTGCATTCCGTCCGCTCCCTTTTCTTATTTCAATATTTTCAAGAATAAAGCAATTTAAAATCTGAAATAAGGGCAATCCGATTGTTAATGCGACGATTTTTAATTAGGAATGTAACATCGCACAAATGATCTTTCACGCCACCTCGTATTGCCACACACCAGCGAAACCTGTGTGAATTTTGGTCCCTTACTTAATACGAAATGAATTAAGAAACGATGCAATTGCAAATTCACATATTCATATTGAATATTTTATTCACTTTTCTAAATTACAATAAAAATAATAAAATCAACAATTTCCAAATAAAAAATACAATAATAAAATTATAACAACTGCTAAAATTGTCCAGGTCACGTACATTTCAAAATACATTTGTTTAAATAAAGGATGGTTCGCTTCTTGATCTTTTATCAGTCCACCATTTTTGTTGCAATGAGGAAATTCAATGTCTGGTATTGGCTTATCCAGAAATGAACACAATGGTTTCCATCCTTCTTTCAATCCAAGGACAAGTAGGCGATCTCGAGGGGCATTCTGGAATTATTAACATTTTAGTTGAAATTTTATATGCGTACAGGGCGCGACAGCTTGTAAATTGTTAATTTACAAGCTTAGAGCAAATTTAGTTCGAAATCGTTGAACAGTGGTTGAATCAGTGGTTCTCAATGTGGGGCGGGCCCCTTAAGGGAGGCGTAGACAATTTTTGAGGGGGCGCGAAGCTAATTAAAAATTAAAAATATTCGTTAGATTTGATCTTGTCCGCCTTATTTTGGATATTTACATTCCAAAACTTTTTATCCTTTTCAATATTTACGTTCCATCCAGGTATTTTGAACATGCATTTAGAATAAAACATAGTTTCGTCTTAATACTATCTGTTGTTTATACTATATAGCAGGGGTGGCCAACACGTCGATCGCGATCGACTGGCCGTTCGCCACGTCTCGAGCAGTCGATCGCGTCTGATGTTGAGTGTGTTTTATTGAAATACCCCCAAAAAATTGCCTCGAACCAGTTGTTTGTTTTGCAACAGGAAGAATACAGTACTTTACATACGCAAAATACAATATACACATGCAGTGCAAAGCATGTTATTACGTATAACAAATGCAATTTTTTCCGCTGCCAAGGATTAAAAATGAAGTGCCGAATATCGCGTGTCTAGACTGACAAACATTGACGATCCTACAACAACTTCCGCAGTATGCGAAATTTATTGTCTCACTCCAAGAGTAGTGTGATAAATTTTATGCGCAATAGCATCAAAATTCCCAATTTGTTCTAATTCTAATCAAGCGAAGAATCGCGTTTGGAGGAAATTGTAAACTAGATACTGGGCAGTCATGTAACATTCATGGTTTGGGAATATTTATTTTTCGCTGTTTAGATAATACTTGACGAGGTTTTTTCAAGAATTTTAATGACTAAAAATTAGGCACGCTCTATATCTGAATTGTATGATTTAAATAAATCTTAAATAAATAATGAAACATTTACTCCGGGTACAATTTGAAAAATTCGAAAAAGGGGGCGCCCAAAACGTTTGGGTTAAGTTTAGTCTGAATAATGACCGAAAATAACAAAAGCGACCGATAACTCTAAAATTAATCAAGAGAGGAGCTCCATAACAAAAATACCTGGGCGCCGGTGGGCTCCGGACGATGTTCAAAGTTTCCCATTAGACTGTGTAGTGCGTATACTGATGTGTATCAGTTAAGTCGTTATTCATGAGAGTATTGCCTCATATAGAATACAGGGGTACATTTCATTCCATTTTTAAAATTACTCGATTTTATATGAACATGGGCACGCGCTAACTGCTTTGAGAGTTTAATAACGACTTTGAATAAATTTGCTCACAAATTTGACTGAAAGGGATCAATTGGTTAATTTCCCGATAATTTTCGAAATAAACTCACAGAATGATGATTTTAGACGTATTTCAATTTGTAAAAGAACCTAAATACGACTCCATAACGATCAACTGCTACTTTTGGTGTAATTAAGCCAATATTAGGTTGTTCAAGTCTTGAAAATTTTTTAAAATTGCAACGGGAATTCATGGATACCATATATTGTTTTGACCATCACAAATGTATCAAATGAAGTAAAAATACTTAAACAATTACTGATTAAAAACGACAAACCTGGTAAAGATATATTGAGGACTGACTTCGTAACAAAATTGAAGTTGTGAAGGGATTTTACGCAACCCTGTATTTTGAATCAGAAAAGGATAAAAGAAGATAAGAAAGATTCAACATATTTATTCGTTATACCTTTAATATATTCTTGTTGTGTTCTCTGTAAACTTTCTTTAAAACTTCATCTGGAATTCCTTCATAGGACTTTCGAAATGATTGAGGTGGAGCGTTAAAAAATGTGTAACCTTTATATATCAAAACAAAGGAGGAAATAAATCAAGAATGTGAAAAAATAAGTATAAAAGAATCACTGTCAGGATTCAAAACCACTTTTAGGCAATGGCCAGTGTCCACAACTTTAAGTCGTTACAGTCTCGGTAGCTCTTGCCATAAGCGTGGGACCCAGGGGGGTGGGACTGGGAATGCTGATGTGCTATGGCATCTCCCAAAATTTTCAAATTTTTGATGCAACTTTGCGGCATTTGCAGTGAGACATAATTGTAACGCCTTTTCGAACACCAGTCTATATTATTCTTGGACGATTTACTGAAAACCAGACGTTTCCTGGCTTGCTATCAATAATCGTTTCATCAAATGAACCAACCGAGATAGATAAAAATGCGTGCTTATATAGCTTGGAGAACTTAGACAGCAAAGTAAGTCTGTAGAGAGATTCTTTAAGATATTGTTAGATAACCGTGGCTGCTTTTATCCGGTTTTGTTCGGAGCAAAAAGCCCGAGTGATCGTCGTAATACGTCATTATACAGAAATGATTTGGGGCTCGCTACGCTCTTGGTTCTTGCCTCTTAGCTCTACAGTGGTCGTGAGGCTCAATATCGATTAGACATCAATCTCCAACACTTCTGATCCAGTGCGCGTCAACATATAAAAATGTTTCATTTTGCATCGAGCACACTGGACTATCCTGCACAAAATGCTTTAATGCGAGGTATTTATCATATTAGCAATAAAAATGAGCAACATTCTTTTTATGGTTTTCTGTTTGTAATCAGTCGGAACAAATACAAGCCACTGGTGCACGAGGGCCTTTTCATTTAATCTCTGAACCCTACACCTACTTCCGGCATTTTAAAAATGTCGTCGTTAGTTTCGAATTATTGAATTGAAAACGTGCCGTTTTGGTCAATCTTTATGGTATCATATGGCAACCCGATAGCTTAATTATGTAAAAATTCTAGAGCACGTTACATGGAACATTTAAACTCCAACACACTTTCTGGCCTCAATCAACGTCAAAACGAGGATATCGGTCGGAGACCGAAGACTTATCGATCGAAACTGCGGTTTCGATTCATGCCTCTATAGTGACACCGCGTGTCCCATCACTAATAAATTAATAACTCGCTAATTATACGACATAATTCATCCAAAATCAATAGGCTTCTATTTCAAGATATGATGAATTCACATGCAAAATTTGGACAACCACGCGAGATATCGCGTGCATCTAACAGACAAACAGACAAACTGACAAATATCTATTAATTATCGATCTAAAGATCGATAAGTAATAAAGGAAATTTAACTTATTTGTAAGTCCAGTATAACATGGCGTCGGAGATTTGAAATTTATTCGTAATACCTCGCTTTCCAAGGACGTAGGTGGCAAAATTTAATGTTTTAATGTTAATCGAAATTGCATGAAACCACTATCTTTCAAGTTAAGAACAAAATAAACAATAGTCGAGATGAATTTCTCAATTTTCTTTTTCTGGAGCCATATTTTCTCAACGCAATTCAGACATAAAACTATTTTCTGCAGTGAGTTATTTATAAAACGTTTTTTTCATTGTTTGTGAACGCTCTGCAATCTGTCTGATTGATGTATTCTATGTTTCCAGTAATAAATTTATTGACAGGACCAATTACAATAAAAACGTGGCATACAATTATATATCTTCCAAGTATTCGAAAATCGATTCGAAAAGAAATATTCGATTCGATTCTGAAACCATAAGGTATTCGAAAATGCCCAGCCCAAAGTAAGACACGTGGTAGTTTAAACGGACTTGTATAATTCGTACCTTCGAGGTGAAACATCTTAATGCATTTCCTTGCCGTTGGTGAAAATAAAGCAAGAGGCATTGATAAGATTCCTGAGTTGCGTTCGTTCCAATGCTTATGCCAGCTCTTCAGCCATCCGTCTTCGTCTCTAGTCATAAATATAAGCTGAAAAGGAGGCGAATAGGGAACATGAAATAGGGTGTTTCAAAGCAGATTTTATATAGTACATCTATAACTAATATAATTCATTGTCTTTGTACGCCCCAAAGTAGGGGTTACCGAAATTGGGCACATGTACCCGCATAGGTACATTTCGACTTCGAAGCTTGCATTACGTAGAAGTATGAAAATTCCTTCTTTGAGCTCTAATATGCTTCACAATATTATTTATAACCTGATATATTTTCCTAAACTGTTTTTGAGGTTTCACTCTTCGGGTTATAAGCTTTTAAGCACCAAGAATAATCTTCAATGCAGACTTCTAACTGAATTTCTATACGATACAATTGCGCAGATCATGGTGGTATTATATGTATATGTGACATTGATACTGAGACTTTTTGGGCCTCTCCGTGAACGCAAATAAAAACAATGCTCCGTGCTTTCGCCGTACACGCGTGGTAGTAACGTGATCAGCGCACTTCAGTTGAACTTCAATTTGCCGAAGCCATTGATAAAATTTCATGTAGGATGCGTGGGAAGTCTCTCCTTTCTGACGCGCCCTCTATGGTAAACCAATCCGTGAAGCGAATTTTCGCAAGGAAACGAGTGGAGACGCTCGGTCGGCCCGCAAGGCTATGCAATATTAAATCAGATTTTTACTCGAGCAACGGTCGCAGTAAATTAACATATGGCGTTTACAATTATATTGATTTTTTATCCCATAAACAGCTACGTATTGCTGTTACCAAAATACACGATGAGCTTGAGTTTAAATTGGTGGTTTAAATGGTTTTTAGTAACACAGATTTGAAGCATAAAGTATACTGTTAAAAAAAGACTAAACTAAAATTCAATTACGACTGGATTCCCGCTTAATATAGTATTATGACGCTAAAGATATGCTATCAACAGATATTACCTTATATTGGGTGAATTAATTATACAAGTATTACAGAAGTAGTGCTGAAGTGGGCCTCGCGGTTTTTAAGGTAATTTTCTTACCGTTGTATAAAGTATTCACAATATAGAAAAAAACACACGGGACGAAACCTCGGGAAAGATTTCAAAACTTTAACTGAAGTTTTAAAATAAGACATAACAGTACTGCACGGGCAACCTCATCTTTTGACATAGAATATAAGTTAGTTTGGGCCGATGGATCCATGCGCATATCACGGTCTTGACGAGACCAAACGTTACGGAACTGAATGTGTATTAGTATACAGCCAGTCTTATGAATGACATAGATAGAAGTGCTGAATGCGAACAAGTATTATCCCGTACATTACAGGTCTTCAAATCCAAACTAAAATGTCACGCAAATTGCGTGTAGCTATCATGACAAACCCAAACAAACAGCAAAATCAACCAAACCATGAGGCTGTTTTAATTTTAAGTGTCTCACCTTTATCCCTGGGAATGCTTTAAGAAAATCTTCCCAGTACATATAAGCAGGTAGATCACTTGCCACATCCACACCAGCATACATATATCTTAGGTCATCGAGGCAACCTTTTCCAGTTGTATAATTCTTCCATACTTCGTAATGTTTCACATTAACAGACCAATAATCTGCAACCTTGTATCCTAGAAACTCCAGAGCTTTTTCAACTGATTTTGTCCCGGTTTTACAGAATCCAACAATCAAAATTTTCATTCTTATTAAAACTGAATCAAGATGGGTCTTTCTCGGTATATTCCAACACTCTGAATAATGTCTAACTAGCATTCGTATTCCAGTGTTCGTTCGGGCGTGAAAATAAACCCTTAGGGCTATTTATCGCCGGTCGATTTCCATTCAACCCGACTATTAGCACCCTGAATAGTAAGTACATCACACTGAGATTTAAAGAGGTTTTGATTGGGCTAGTTCGCGCTTGGCCATAGATATATAGATTGTTCTATGATGGTTCATAGTTGGCCAAACAAGAGAGGTAAATTTCTCGTTTAAGTACATCACACTGAGATTTAAAGAGGTTTTGATTGGGCTAGTTCGCTCTTGGCCATGGATATATAGATTGTGCTATGATGGCCAAACAAGAAAGGTAAATTTTTAGTTTGAGTTGAAATGGGGTTGGGGGGGTTTAACTTTTAGCTTCTCGATAGATCTTAATCGTTTATTTATAGAGATATTAAATTCAAAAACAAAATTATTGAAATGTGAGTGGTTTCCAACATGCTTATTCGCTAGGTTTGCACCACCCTGGAGTAGAGTATACCAGGGGTGGCCAAACTGCTTCCGACCGCGATCGACTAAAATTTTCAAAATAGATCACGATCGACTGATCGATAACAAGGTCCTACACAAAAACGAATGGACACTGAATGTGCAGATTACTGAACACACGCTTGAAAAAAAATCGCATCGACACAAAAATTGTATTTTATATGTTCCATTCAAGTTGTTGATTTGAATATTTAATTGTACCCGGAGTAAACGTTTCATTATTCATTTAAGATTTATTTAAATCATACAATTCAAATAAAGGGCGTGCCTAATTTTTAGTTGCAAGTGTTGAAAATTCTTCAAGAAACCTTGCCAAGTAATATCCAAACAGCGTAAAATAAATATTCTCAAACCATGAATGTTACATGACTGCTCAAACTTCAGTATCCAATTTACAATTTCCTCCAAACGCGATTCTTCGCTTGCTCAGAATTAGAACGAATTGGGCATTTTGATGCCACAGCTACCATTGCGAATAAAATTTATTGCACTACTCTTGGGGTGAGACAATAATTTTTGCATACTGTGGAAGTTATTATAGGATCGTTTGTCAGTCTAGACCAGTGGTTCCCAACCTGGAGGTCGCGACCCCCTTTCTAGGGGGCCGCGAAGGTCAGTAATGAATATAATCCGGATTCCATGTATTAAGCTATTGGAAATAGTAATTTGAAAATCACCCGTCATCATAGGCTGTGACAACAAATGATTTCCATCAAAATGATGCTCCAAGCTGTCGCTAAAATATGGTTTAACTTAATCAAGTATGGATTTGGTTTAAAAAAGTTAGATTATGCTCTAGCGAAATTTTAATAATATTTGTATCACAGACTTGAAATTCTGGTATTTGGTAACTTATATTATTAAAACTAATGGAGGCCATATATGTATACAGGGACCCTACTAAAAAGGTAGGTATCATAGGTATCACAGGTATCACTCCATAAAAAAATACCGGTAGGTATCAGTAATAAATGACTAAAAAGGTAGGTATCAGTAGTAGATGACTAAAAAGGTAGGTATCAGTAGTAAATAACTAAAAAGATAGGTATCAGTAGTAGATGACTAAAAAGGTAGGTATCAGTAGTAAATGACTAAAAAGGTAGGTATCAGTAGTAAATGACTAAAAAGGTAGGTATCAGTAGTAGATGACTAAAAAGGTAGGTATCAGTAGTAAATAACTAAAAAGGTAGGTATCAGTAGTAGATGACTAAAAAGGGGGCTCCCGAAGTATGCGAACCAAGATGGCGGACATCGGAATGTAATATGTGTACTAGGTTAGGGTTAGGCCATAATTTTAGGTATAAATACTACGGGAGGCCCTTGGCTAGTCTTCGAACTGATAATAGGACCAAAATAAGGAAAATTGGAAAAAAATTGTCGCCTAACCCTAACCTGTTACTGATACCTACCTTTTTAGTCATCTACTACTGATACCTACCTTTTTAGTCATTTACTACTGATACCTACCTTTTTAGTCATTTACTACTGATACCTACCTTTTTAGTTATTTACTACTGATACCTACCTTTTTAGTCATTTACTACTGATACCTACCTTTTTAGTGAGTGATACCTATGATACCTACCTTTTTAGTAGGGCCCGTATACAGCAGTACATGAATCAACTTCACGACCCGCGACTAAACACGGCCTGATTATATAATCCTGAGCTAACAGAAAAAAACAAGATATCTACATTTCCCGACAAAGCTGATCGATCATGTTCATGTCGCACTGCAGATTGGTATTCAAAATAGCCACAGAGATCATTCTAAAATCAGGATTTATTGCTCAAATTCGACGATTATCGTCTTCACCTCAAAGCGAGAAACTAGATCAAGCTGCTTTACAAACTCAACTAAAAAATATTGAATCATAATACTGTAATATAAATCTTTTCAACGTATAAAAAATAATTCAGCGCCCCTTGCGATGTAGAAAACTTATAAATGACTAATAGTAATCTGGGCTAATGTGCTGTGAAGCAGTTCAGTAACCTGACACGAAAGCAACGGAGTAAAAACTCGTGCAGCCGTGTGTGTTTATAACTCTCACTATACCACGATCGATACCGTAATAACAAAGTAGGAAGAGGATTAACCCGTTGGTAGAGCAGCGTTAGATCATTACTTTAAATGTTCTTGGATTAAACGATAAAGTAACTGTCACAAAACCAGTTTCTGAATTTACTGTATAATATTCTCTGGACACGGAATAGTTCTTGTTCGTGATACACTTATTTATTACAGGATACAAAACTTACCGATAAACGCAATTGATTAAACATAAAATAACACTTGATTCAACGTATTTTATAATAGCTTTTAGCGTGACACAATTTTTAATGTGAATTCAAAGCTGAAGGGGTAATCGGTTGAATATTAATATTATGCCGCTCAGAATTTGGTGAACCATGTTAATATTCCGGGTTAAGATTTGTTTATTGGCAAATGAAAGGGAGTGACATTCCTGAAATTAGTCTTCGCGTTGCAAGGCTCATGTGTGAGATTATTTTGAAAGATTGTGAATAGTAATTAGAACGGAAGTATAAGATAAACGCAAAACAATGCATATCAAAATAACATAAGGTTGTTTCAATATTTTATTTGATATTCATCGTTATTTGTAAGCCAATGATTCCTGAAGAATAAAATTAATAAGATGCGTTTAATAACGATTTATTTGTTAGAACAAACACCTTTTACCAAATTATGATATAAAAAATGTGACAGCCCAAATATTCAAGTTTTTTCTACTTATTATATAGCCATTGGGTATCACTACAAGCCTCAAGAGAGTTAGAGGATTGCCTTTTACAATCCAATATCTCCATCGAACCTAAGTATTTTTAGCGCCAAGTTTTATTTGGTATAAATCATGCGTTACGCTGTAACCAAATTTATTTGGCTATTTTGAGCATCGATTAGCTTTGTAGCAAATTGTCTACCAAGAAAGTGGATAGTTAGTGAATCGTACCAAAAAGAGGAAGGCACTTTACTTGAAAGTTGACCTATGAATATGAAATAATCAAGGATAAATAACAGCCATATAAGAACAGTACATAGCTAAACGTTTGTAGCAAACAACGATATACAAAATGCGCATAAAACACATGTATAATTACAGCTGTAATCCATTTCACAACTTGTTCTTCATGTGCTCTGTTGTAGATATTTCCGAGATGTCCACCAATGTCTTCACACCTCTTTTTTGCTTCACCATACGTCATTAGATTAGATTTGAAAAATGTGAAGCATTTTCTCACGTATTTCAAATGGCAGAATCGTTCATCTGTTAATATGAGTGATCAATTAAATTGTATGTCCTGTTAAAAGTCTTATTCTAGTTTAAGTAAAAATCTTAGTAAAGAAGTAGTCGACTTGGAGTCTTCATCTCATCCAAAGCATAAAAATTGACTTAGATACGAAACAGCAAAAAAGGTATTCACGCAGTATGTGTACCAGGTTAGGGTTATGCCATATTTTGATTCCGATTTTCTATATTTCAGTTTTATTTCGAGTTTCATGTACACCATGCCAAGTCACAAATTCATGAAGATTTTTCACCCAGAAGGCGAGATCAGAAATATTGTAAGTTATTGTACACGTGTACATATGGAATATCACGGAACCACAGTTTTGAAAAGCGTCCAACATTTTCAATTTCCAAAACAATTACCCCACTTGCAATATTACACAATAGGTCACAATTTTTTTTTGCAAATGCCAAAAGGCCATTTTCTAGTCGATATTAAATGTCGGTCAGTATGTTTCCACAAAGGTTATTTCGTGACACTTATTCATGTAATCTATAGCGTTACGTTTTCTAATTTTTGACTGATTGATTACGCTGGATAGTTAGTAGTAGAAATCACCTAATGTATATGTAATTGAGCGCCATTTAGAAACTTTGATAAGGAATGAACTCATTTTACACATGAAGTACGTCATAGAGTCATTCATACATTGTCTACCTAAAAGTCGTAAACCAACATATCAAGATTTACGTTATCGATTGATTTTGACGAAGTGCAATTTCAGTTATGGAAAACATATATTTTAAAAGCGTAGTTCAATGGAAAACACTTCAAAACAGAACTCGCGTTGAAAAATAATTGTGACTACAAAAAAGTTACTGACAGAAACAAGTTTAGCACTATAATGGCCATAGTTGGAGCTTCAGAGTTCAGTTAAGGTCGGAAGAAACAGTTTATATCTATGCGGTAAATATGAAGAGTCTAGGACGCTTAATCGATGTTGAATTTGATGTCTGTTCTATCATTATATTCCTTAACAATGTCGTAATGTGTGGCAAACAAAAAAAATTGTAGCAAATATAGAAAAGGAAGCACCCTATCACTGTTAGAAAAGTAAGCCAGTCCATGTCGAGTGCCCATTCCAGTTTATGATGTACAGTTTACTTTATTGCAATAAAACAAACCAGCAATAATTTTGAAGTAGCTGACGTTCGTTTAGGTTTTTTGGACAGAAAATGTACATATTGATCGTGTTGTTGTTTTTGTTTGTTTTTTCTTCTTGTTGTTATGAAAAATCTCCTGGACCAATCGCTTCAAATTTTCAGTGGTTGAAGATTATATTTTTCGCTGGAAAATACAATTATCTTTATTTATTTCAAAACTTTCCGTGGGCTCCTATGCATATCAAAATTTTGTGTGATGACCAATTCAAAACTAATAAAAATCATTTGTAGCGGTTCTGCCTCCTCTCTCGCGCTACGCGAAAGTCGGAATTTTTTGACTGTGCGTATACAGTAGACTAAGTAAGGTGCTGTATAAGCTAAGCCTAGACTGATCCTTCGGTTAGGCTTTCGTGTCCATATATTTGATAATACTAATAGCTTCATCATTAAATATAATCAATTCTCTTGGTAACCTAAATCTTCAGTGGAATTACAATTTAACAACCACAATGCTTGGTAGGACATACAAGGTTTTTACACTTGTCAGTCTTTTACTTTTCATTGAATTAACCTGGGCCGAAGAAAAACGTCTCATTTGCAAACCAGAATCGGATGAAGAACAGCAGCAGAGTGCCTCGATTGATATCAATGATGATTTGATCAAAGCAATAAACTCACTTATTGATGTCAAAATGAAGGGTGGGTAGCTTTCACTAAAAAATATATTCGGTGTTTTAGTTAAATATAATGATTTTGGTCACATATTTTAACAATTTTCCTCAAAGCAAGGTCACGAGTTCACACTTGTGAATGATTGAGTCACTTCCGCCCGAGTCAAGTTCAATATATATACAGAATTTATATAGATTTGCGTAATGGATTACGCACAATACAGTCCAACTTAGTATTGGTTGACGTATACTTTTGAGCAGAGAACAGCTATTGATCAGCCTGTGGCCAATAAGCACGCTAGAAAGCATGCATTCATAAGTCACGAACAAATAATTACAATAGACCCAGCACAACATTGAATAGTCAAGTTTTGAATCTACTAGGTGCGAACTATATTTTCATCAAATACAAAAATAATATTTATAATTTTGAGTCGATTGGAAAATTAATTGCCTTTCTCCTGAAGGCTGTCTCTATAATTATGGTATAATGTTTTAAATATCAAATCAAAATTGGGATATTACCAACGTGTACATATTATCGGAATAAGCCTTAAGGTATAACAACCGAGGGTTCTCAATCCTTATTCTCTCATTTATTCCTATACAAATTTCAAATGAAAAATCAATTTCAATTTTTTATATTATTATTATTAAATGTATAATAACGCTTACACCTATATTTGATTGCGATTATACAGTGAATGCCCATATTATAGCCAATTTTCACTTCCAAGTGAAATTTACTCCAAGGGCGAGTAAATTTTATCCAAAATTTACCCCCAATAGAGAGCCCCTTGTATAAACATATCATAAAATATTGAATTCACCAATATCTTCTGAACGCATCGTTTTGTTAAATTTTATAACTTTTTGTTTGTTTGTTATATTTACAGAAGTTGAAGATAAATTGTCACAGAGACTTTGGGAAAGATTTATGAATGAGACTGAATCTACGACTGCACCAGTGGAAGAAACAGTGGTTAAAGGTACTAAAATCGGATGTTAATTTTTTAACTTTAAATTTTTTAATTTAAAATTGGTGGTTCTAATGGTTGGTCTAATGGTTCTAATTGATGGTTCTAAGCGATTTTTATACCCCTCACAAAAAGTCACATTGGGGCAAACGTCTATGCGTGCAAATGTTCGTGGGTGCGAATGTACATGGGTGCAAATGTCCGCGGGTGCAATCTATATGCGGGTGGAAAAATCTATGGGTGGAAATGTCCGTGGGAGCAAATTTCGGTGGGTTCGAAAGTATGCAGGTGCAAATGTCGTTGGTGCAGTTTATGGGTGCAAATGTACGTGAGTGCAAATGTGATGTCACCAATATCAAATGGATCCAACGATAACAGTATCTCTGAAAGGTTCCTGTCCGAGCTTTACATGGTTTCTATCACATAGTTTACACCTATCGAAATAATAGTTTGAACTGACCTCAAACTAAACGTGAATTTATTAAGTGAACGCTTCGTATCTTACTTTAAAGTTTTAAAACATTCAGGAAAAATATAATTTAAAAACTTTTGGCAAACTTTTATTGGAACCTATGTGTCATTTTTTGTCAATTGAGCTGGCAGATAAGAGTCTTTCGACTTCATTAAACTAGAAACTAAAGACTCGCCACACAACTGCTTCACGGCGCTGTTAGTACTCGAAGCTGCGCTAACATTTACCTATCAAAGAAAAGCATTTCAATATAAGACGTTAACGAAATCCATGATCTTAATATCTGCATTTCCAGTCCGCAGTCGTGTTAGAAATCAAAAACGGAAAAATATGTTAAGAACAGACTAAATTATAATCACGAAGTACACCACAAGCATTTCCAATTCTTTTTTAATATTGTCAGCAATTTCATGAATAATGTGTCCTAAACAAACTATTAGCCCGAAAAAGTTTCTGTAGTAGCAACATCTCACATGAAGGCAGCTATACTGGAAGTAATGGGTCACCTAAATTGCGGACATTTTACTATTTCGTATCTAAGTCAACTTTTCATACATTCGATGAGATGAAGTCTCCGGGTCGACTGCTTCATTGCTCGGATTTTTACTTATATCAGAATAAGACTTTAAATAAGATATACAATTTAATTAGGATTACATGTTAACAGATGAACGATTCTGTCATTTGAAATATGTGAGGAAATGCTTCACATTTTTCAAATCTAATCTAATGACGTATGGTGAAGCGAAGAAGAGATGCGAAGATATTGGTGGACATCTCGGAAATATCTACAACAAAGCACATGAAGAACAAGTTGTGAAATATATCAAGAAAAATGCTGCGACTCCTATTTTCTTCTTCATTGGAATGACTATCGATACGAAAGTAAGTATACCTCTAACTTCAAACAAGTGAACATATATCAGATCAGATCAGATTTGGCATTACTTAAATAATGCTACTCTCTGGAAATATCATTTGTTTGGATGGGATAGAAAACAGATCACAGAAACATTTTATGTTCCGATTGGTGTGTTTTCAAATCCTTATTAAGAAAAAAAATCGAGTCATTCCTTGGTAAAGGGAATATATTAGATGACGTAAAAAAACGAGAAATTCTAAAAAAAAGTCTACTACTTGAGTTTGACGTTTTTAATTTATTTGAGCTTATTTTTAAATTCTGTGAAGCAAGAATCGAAATCTTGAGTCGGAATTGAGAATCGGATTTGTAACAATAAGAGACATTCTAAAAATCGGTAACTGGTGGCAAAATATTCTTTGGATAAATTTTTCCAAAGTTCTTGAAGTCGAAAATGTTATATTTTGGCGTCAGAAGCTAAAGACGACTATACGGGGGAGTTGACTCTGTTGACCGTATGTTCGTATGGCTCTCTCCAGTCTATACCGAATAACATTGCGTATATTGTTGTATATTTGTATTATAGTTGCAAAGCTTGTTTTTCTGGTTGACAAATATTAAATTTCTCTCTCTCTCTCTCTCTCTCTCTCTCTACGGTATGTTTGTCAACCCAAAATCGGCATTCGGAGTCAGTGTCAATTTCTTGAACCACTTGGAATTTGGTTTTACTTTTCTCTGAATTTACAGTAAGTCCCGGGCTGACTTATATGAATTAACTCATATCTATTTTCTTCCAGAGCATGAATGTTTTCCTGTACAATCGTTCTCCAGCGCCATATGTTCATTGGTATCCTGACGGTGGATATCCCCTGAAAGAACACAGCATGTTGAGATACACTATTTTGCCTACTTTCTCGGGAATGTTTAACAATGTTGCAGAGAACATGGCGAGATCGAATGGTGTACTTTGTGAATTTTAAAATATCATTTAGTTCAACACAAAAACAACTTCAAAAAATAATTTCTCTGTAAGATATCTCACGTGCAACTGAAGAATGTGGTTTTGTTTTAAAAATCATGAAATATTATTTCAGCATTCGTTCAGTGAAAAGCGACAAAACTTCATATTACAAGTCAGTCAGTCAATCGATTATTTATTTGCCGTCACGAAAGACAAATTCACAAAAGTTGCTGCAGAGGTCGCGAGGGACCTCGTTAGGTCTTCAAGCAGCAATACCTATAGCGCTGTTACTGGTTTGGTGTAAAAATAACTGCATATGATACGACTATTAACTATGCGATAGTCTTGATGGTGATCATATTTTGACTATAACATGTAATTATAATATATAAATGAACATAAATTCACGCCAAACGCAATTTTGCTAAAATACATAATAAAATAAATAAGATGGAGAGCAACGAAACTAGTGGCAGAAAAAAGAAGGTTATTATTTAAAACAGAAATCTAACAAGAGAGCAAATCGAACTAAATATCCGATGTATAATCCGCTAGCGGCTAGATAGATCCTGTTACTTACTATCTGGCCATTGAAAAGCTCAAATTAAAATGGCAAATTGAGTCTCATCACTGCAGTAATTCACATAGATACCGTATAGACCAGGGGTGTGTAACTTGCGGCCCGAGGGTCATATGCGCCCACAAGAAAAAAAATGTGCTGCCCGCGGAAAAGTGCCAATTTTGAATGCTGTGTGGCCCGCAAAACGAGTTTTTAATTTAGCTTAATAGTAATGGTAGGTGCGAGTAATTTTAATCCATTTGCGTTGAAAACCCTATATCTGAGTTCAATTTATATGCCTATGACGTTCAATGCCCTGACAGCTAACTTTAGCGAAGAGAACATCGAATGTCATAAGTGCAACGACTAAAAAGCCTGCGTTAAATAAAAGTGTGTGGCCCGTGGTTTCACCCCGGTGTTTGTATACGACCCTTCCGTAATAAAATCGCATACCCCTGGTATTGACCACAGCTAAGCCGTGAGCACGAACTTTGCGAGAGAAATTTCGAAAAATATAATATATATTAATAGCCTTTTAGCGAATTAAAATTGTTGAACACTTTAAATCCAAAAACGCTTAATCCATTATGGGGTCAAAGAGATTGTTGCTCAACAATAAATGTCACCTCAACAACAACAACAAAAATTTGGCAATACAATCCATTTGTCACTTCGTATCGTATTGATATGAGCTTTACCTCGCCCCGTGCATTTCCTATACACGAGTAAGCAAAATATGATTTTCCTATTCGTATTATTATGCACGCTTTTCGCAGTCTTACTAAAATATTTGTTGATCAATTAATTTTACCGAAACTATCTAAATGTATGTTTGCTATAACGTATTTATCAATTTTGACTTGAATTGAATTTGTTTATTATTATTGTATGTACTCTTATATTTAATACAGACTGCTTATTCAATTTGCCCTGAGTATACATGTGGTACTACTTCTGCAAAGCTCATGAATACTCCACATACACTTTACAAAAACATCACTTGTAAAATTAATCTACTCTCCAATTTGTGGCATTAGTCACCAGAAAAGGGCAAAAACGGTTTCCTAAAAGCTCTATAAAAATTCATTCGACAATGTGGCATATACATTTTATATTTACAATCAGCTTATTAAATTGTTTATTACCGGGTAATGAGGTAGCATAATTAATGTTGAAATAAAATTAAAAATTGAAAATTATCTAACTAAGAATGAAATTGAAAGTTACGGTTTGAAGTAATACAACATCACATGGAATTGTTGTCATCGATAATAGCATACGTTCATGGTTCTTTTTCAATACTGTCACATAGGTTTGGTAACATACAATACATATACAACCAGGAGTATGCATATACATCCTGAAGTATACATATACAGCCAGGAGTATACATATACCGCCAGAAGTATACATATACAGCCAGGAGTTTACATATACAGCAAACCAAATATGCATATACAGTCATGAGTTTGGTTGGTAAAAAATATGAATACAATTCCAAAATATGCTCATACTGCACAGTCAACTCAGATTATGTTCATACACAGCCAATATATTTTAAACCGATGTTTGTTTATATTGATTTGAATGAATATGCATATGATATTGACTTTTGAATGAAACTTACTTCAATGGCTGTATATGTATATTTGCCTGGCTATATATGTATATTTAGGCTGTATATGTACATGGTGTTCGCAAAGTTTGGACACATAGGTTATAAAATATTTTTAGTAATAATTATAAATTATAATATAAATTGATGGTAATGTATTAAAGATAGTAATAATAATTAATAATATTATGCTTCATATGGTAAACAAGAAAAAGGCTTGTTTATCGCACAATATTCCACTAACCTCATTCAAGTTTTTATAATCTTAACTCAAATATACAAAAAAAAATATTTAGATGACTGGTGGATATAGAGCTACGACATACAAGAAGAAATGAAAAATTTTAAAATAGATTTCCAATCCCTCAATATAAAGAAGATTGCAGAATTATTGACAAGGGCGTTTATCTCATTAACACTAGCAAAAACGTAATTACCAAAAATAATATTATTTGTTTCAGAATAATTCATCAAAATAGCAAACGCAACAGAACTTATAATATCAGTAATTATCGTAAAAGCTGCTAAAGCTGCGGATTTTTTCAAAACTTTAATGATTGGGTTTGGGTTTTTCTTTATAATTGTCTCGGTTTTGGATACGATATTAGAATCAGCTTCTTTTTCTGGATTTGGAGCTGTTGTTGTAACTTCGTTTGGCGCAGGAGGATTGTCAACCACAATCTCTTCTTTGCCAGAAATTAAATTGGGCTCAGCGTTTGTTACTTGTCGCAATTGAGGTTCATTGATGATTCCAACTGATTTACTCTGTCTCTCATGAGCTTCTTTGAATAGGAATTCATCGCCTGGCTTTGTTTCTTCGTTGACAGGACATTCATTAATGATTGAAACATCTGCAACTGTTAATCGTTTAGCAGATGGTGACGCACTGTGTAAGTTGGTGTTGAGATTCCTTTGAGACGAATTAGCAACGTTGCTTGGACTTGCAATTTTTATATTAGTTGACTTATTTATAGAGTTATGTCCTTCAGATGAAAAAGATGTTTCAGCGATACCTTGCTTAGATGAGGAAGGTAAAAGTTTTTGTGTTTGTGAGTTTTCGTTGCTCATCAATTTAGCTTTCTCTTGTCGCCTTCTTTGTTGAATATGTTTAAACAAAGGAAACACAAATAGAAATAGCAGCAATCCTTGACTTAAAATTGATATAATAACACCGAATGAAAATAGTCTGTTTAAGTCTTCATCGCTGTTTTTATCAAATACCTGAACGCACTCAAATCCGTTGAAAATCGTTTCTATGGAAGTTTCGAAAACACACGTGTAATAAACATTCTGTATAATAATTAAACTAAGAGAAACATAACTCAAGCGACGCAACCATTTAGAGGTAAGTCTCTTCATATTTGGACGAGAGTATAGAACATATTGCCTGAGCCATAATGTTAGATAGCTGGTAAACATATTTATTGAGTATAGCACTCCATTTATATTTGTTATGACGTAGCACAAGACGTCATCTGACTTAATAAACATACTAATAAGGTACGTCTGTAGTGTTCCAAGTCTTACTATTGTTTGAACAAATGCAGAGAACACCATAATGTATAAAATTGTGCGTTTATCCTGGCAATTGCATCTGAATTTTCGATGACGTATACCATATGACGTCATTGAAGAAAATACCAGCATAGTGATGAGAAAAACAAAAATGCACCAAACTTGACAAATTATCCATTCGGTATTTCCAAATACTGTCTTTTTTCTTACGTGGTTCAATTCCACTGCTGTAGTATTTGTTACTGTATATTCCGATGTATTTTCAAAATTGCCGGAACCAGTTTCATAAATATCCATACGTTTTAAAAAAAGCCATCAAACATATTTATAAAATAATTCTGAAAAAAAACAATAATTAGTTATGAACTTTGTCTAAAAATACTGATAAATACAAACTACTAACCGTAGATAATGTAAAAAAAAGTGCAAATGAATTAGTTAAATCGTGCCTCGTTGCTCAGATTTTTATGTATTTTTTTTCACTTGCTTTAATAATAGCTTAGCTATATTAATCATGGGTATACAATACACAGTGGCGAATCAGTCAGCGAATCCGTTCTTTATTAGGACGTTAGAATTGTAGCCAATGGGTTAAGTAAACCACAGCTGACGTTTTATTTGGTGTTTCGAAATGTATGTATTAGGTTTCTGAAAAGCATATCATGTTAATGCAGCTTACGTAGTGGGATACATATATTTTCTGAAATAAGGTAATCTACTGTTTCTGGATTCGATACTAAAGAGAAGTGGTTTTTTTAAATTTTGAATTTCATTCTAGTTATAAATTATTTTCAAATAATTCGAAAACATAATAAATAAAAATAAAAACATATGTTTTCGAATTCATTCGTAATGGTATTTTGCTGTAAATTCGTTACTATTAATATAAATTACAAACTATTTTCAAATATCAAACAAAGTTTTTTTTTTAAATAAGAACAAAAAATAAACAAGAGAGCTATGCTCAAATATATGGACACGCAGCGGTCATATGCGTTCGCGGAACCTCCACATGGTGGCAAATTTTGATGACGCTATAGCACACAAAAAACGAATCCCATACAGCTCACCGGTATATTTGAAACAAATAAAAGTAATAACCTTCTGGCGAAAACTTTAATCTTAAGCGCTTGAAATTCCAAATCAATTGGTCCAGTAATCAATGAGAGAAGCGATTTTTTCTGTGACAAAGAACAACAAAAACAACAACAACATAATAACAAAACGATCCATATGCCCACTACGTGTTCAATTACTACTTAACAAATATTCTAAGACTAAGTTAAGATATACACGTTATTGTAGAAAATGATATTTTCGAAGTTGTGTTTTGAAAAACATATTTTACTATGAAAAAAACGTCAAAAAATCCTATCAAAAATTAAACTGATTATGATTAGATTTCATCTACAAAAACAGTTTGACAACACAGTTTTCCAGTCTTTGAGTATAAAAAATATTGCGAAATTATTTACAAATGCATTAATTTCGTTTATACAAGAATAAACATACGATCCAATATATTCTCTGTCAAACATCGCTACAAATACCGCAAAAACAGCTAACGTGCAGATATCACTTATAACAGTTATTGTTGCCAGCACAGTAGATTTTTTCAAAACGTATATTATGGGGCTCGGTTTTACTGAATCCTGGTGTTTTATGGGATTGTTCCCGATA